CGTCCCCGGCCTCACCCGCATCCGCGTGGAATTCCCAGTCACACTCCGCCGCGCCGCCTCGCTACTAACGGACCCTCCCGAGATGTAGTCCCGCCCCTGTACCAGAGCCCCGCCCCCATCTTCTCGCGAGAAGTCATCCCCGGAGCCAGGGAGGCTGAGGCGACCCCTCCCGCCACCACGCAACGCGCCTGCGCTCTCGGCTTGCTGCCCCGCCCCTGCCAGCCGATGCCATGTGGCGCTGTATTTACGGCCAAGATAGGCCACGCCCACAAACCATCGGGAGCCCCGCCCCTTCCTCAGGAGCCAATCTGCGGAGTCAGTCAGGGCACGCAGGGCGGAGCCGGTCCTGCAGTTGGATACCAGAATCTGGTTTACCTGGAGCTACAGTGCTGCTAATTGGTCCTCCCCTCCCATATAGGTGATGAACTCAGGGTCTTTGTGCTGAGCTACGTTCTCAACCCTTGTTTATTCTATTTTTTTAAATTTTGAGACAAGGACTCGCTAAATTGCCCAGGCTGGGCTTGAATTTGCGAGCCTCCTGACTCAGCCTTCTAGCGCTGGGATTATAAACGTGTCCAACTACACCTTCTTCACTGCCTTAATGGGGCTTCTGCTGGTTACCGGACCCGTTCGTGAGCCTCAACTCATTGGCAGAGAGGATTGTGACGCCCACCAGCTAAGGCTTTGGACTCGCTGTGTGACTCAAATGAGATGTGTGCAAAGTGCTGAAGCAAGGTGCCTAATATATAGGAAGCTTACAATAATTATTCTTAGTGTCGATTTTTAAAACTTGTGGTAAAATATACCATCACATACAACTTACCTCTGTGTGTGTGTGTGTGTGTGTGTGTGTGTGTGTGTGTGTTTACAGGGCTTTCACACTGAGCTATCCCCGGCCTTTTTAAATTTTGAAACAAGATCTTGTTATGTTGCTCAGGCTCAGCTCAAACGTGATTCTCTTGCCTCAGCCTCCTAGAGTGTTGAGATTACATGTGTGCATCACCACACACCCAACTCAATTTACCATGTAAGTGGGCGCTAAAGGGCCAGTAGTATATTTGAGTTGTTGTGCAGTGTCCTTAATTGTGCTGTTGTGGCTGCCTTGATGACCTGAATTGATTCAAAATATTTCCGTTTCATGGTCATTTTTACTTTGGGGAAGAGCCAGAAGTCACACAATGCCGGATCCAGTGAATAAGGTGGATGAGGATGCACTGTGACGTTTTTACAAGCATCCTTTTCTGTGTGGCACTCGGCGGCAGCATTCACTGTATTTTTGTCACACCTCATAAAAACACAGAGGGCTTCCAGAACTGCTTCAGAAAGTGGCAAGAAGGATAGGATGTGTGTGTTTGAAGCAGGAGGGTGGATTTTGAGAGGGACACATGGCCATGCGTATTTTATTGTTATAAATTAAACCTTTAAAATTCATTGTATTTTTTGATCACCCCTTGTTCATGGGTTCTAAGGTTGGGAGGTGGGTGACAGTTATTTTGTTTCACTAATAGGATTCAGAGTGTACAGCTCCACCACCTGTGTTCTTGTGTGTGTGTCAGGTGCTCCTGCAGCAATGACAGAGTGACACAGACCACACCCTTCTGAAGAACAGCAGCCCAGAGACAAGGTGTTGGCCTTGTTCCTGCCAAGGGCTCGGAGAGAGAATCTGTTCCTGACCCTCCTTGGCTTGTAGATGGCTGTTTTCTGTCCATATCTTTTCACATTAACTTCCCTCTAAGCATACCTGTCTAGATGTCCAGATTTTCCTTTTTTGTATTTTTTCTAGATTTCCCATTTTTATAAGGACACCAGTCACATTGGATTAGGGTCATCCCAATGACTTGTTAATTTATGTCTCTAAAGGCTCTATCTCCAAATAACATCATATTCTGGCATACTGGTATTTTGTTTTTGGTACTAGGGATTGAGCTCAGGTCCTTGAGTTTGCAAGGCAGACAGTAGCACCACTGAGCTAAATCCCCAGCCCAGATATACTGGTATTTAAAACTCCAGTGTAATCCTTTTTTGGATTACAATTATAATTTAACCCATAAATTTATGTGGCAAAAATTACATAATAAGCCTTTTTTGTGGGGACAGGATCTCACAACATTGCTGGGCTCAAACTTGTGATTCTCCTGCCTTAGCCTCCCAGAGTGCTGGGGTTATTGGTGTGTGCGACCATGCTTGGCTCATAATAAGCCATTTTTAATGTTATTATGTAATGGAATGGTAGAATAAAATTTAAATCTGACAGCACCAGAGGCGGGTGGGGCCGCCAAGCAGCTGCATCTTTTACACTGCTGATAGGCATGCAGAATATTGTGGTACCTTTGGAAACATGGGGCAATTCTTATAAGCACTTTCCTGACAACCTAGCAGGCCCACTCCTAAGTCTTGAGCTAAGGAAATGAAATTTATATTCCCACAAAAACCTGTATTTGAATGTTTTTATAGCTTTGCTCAATTTCCCTAACTGGAGACAAACCAGGTGTCCTGTACCTGGTGAATGAATAAACTGTAAACAACTACACCAGCAAATACTGCTGAGCCATGAAGAAACAGTCTCACTGCATGCAACAATGTAGAGGATTCTTAGATACATTGTGCAATGAAGCCAATTTCAAGGTTATCTATGAGTGTATTAGTAACTATTCTGTGGTGTAGGGGTATGCCTTACACATCCAACTTATAGGAAGAGAGGTTTAATTTGGCTCAGTTTCAGAGGTTTCAGTCCATGGTAACCTGACTCAGCAACACAGCAGATGGATGAGGTGGAGGGAAGGTGCCCACTTTGTGGGCACAACAGAGTGAGATAGCCACTGAGTCCCCAAGGTCTTCACCCAACTAAACCTTATCTCCTAAGTCTCCATCACTTTCCAATAACACCATCAAATTATAACCACATCTGTGGATTAACCTGTAAGGAAGTCAGATCCCTTGAAATCCAATCATTTCTGAAAACACAGACACACCCAGCAGTGGGCTTTACTAATTCCCTGAGTGTTTCTCAATTTACCCAAGTTGATGACCACAATTAAACATCCCACATAGGACACCATTTAGAGCAGTTTTGGAAAAGGCAAAACACTGGGGCAGGCGCCTTCTGGGCTATGGCTGGGGCTGGGGAGGAATGGTTTCTGACAGGGTATGAGAAAATTTAGGGGGTACAGTACTATTTCCTGGCTTCCCAGGCATATGCTTTTGTCAAAACCCATAAAGCTAGGGCCAGGTATTTGGTTCAGTGGTACCGCCATTTGCATCGCAAGCACAAGGTCCCAAGTTTGATCCCTGATACCAAACAAAAAAACAAACAAACCCATAAAACTACGCATTCAAAGGGTACATTTTACCATATAAAAATTATACCTTTGTATTTAAAAAAATCTTTTAAAATGTCGTTTCCCCTAGCTGAAATTCTGCTAGTTACTGAGAAGTAGTGCATAATAAAGATTACATGAAATCCCAGAGGGCCTGCGTTTGGAGGTGCTCAAGGCCAAACTATCCCTTTGTTCAAATTCCCAAGCTCACACTAACAAAAGCCTCATTGGAAATTTGAACAAAGCTCTAAAACCCAGCTAATGAGTGTGAGGACAGAGGACCTAGATTTTGATCAAGATCACCCTATTTAGCTCAGTGGTTCTGCTGCCTGCCTCACAAGAGCAAGGACCCAAGTTTGATCCCCAGTATCAAAAAGAAAAGAAAACAGATCACCCCTTACTGGGATTGGAGTGGGGTACAGCAATTATATAATGAGTGTGGGGCCCTTTTTGGGGCGAGGAAAATAGTTCTGGAACTGGTTAGAGATCATGGTTGCACAACACTGTAAATGGACTAAATGCCCCTGCGGCCTTCACTTTAAAATGGTTACTTTTGTTGGGGATTTGGCTTAATGGTTCTGTCACCAGCCTCACAAGCGCAAGGCCCCAAGTTCAATCCCCAGTACCAAAATAAATAAATAAATAAATAAATAAATAAATAAATAAATAAATAAATATTAAAAAATAAAGTGGTTACTTTTATTTATGCTAATTTCACCTCCATTTAAACTAACTAGATTCAACATTAGAAACATACAGAAACATTTTTAATAATTTTCTCCAAAGTAACTACATATTTTCTGCCATCTATAAATAAGGAGGAAAGAGCTCAGAGAAGTCAACCAACTAGGGAAGGCACACAGTCATGTGAGTGTCAAAGTCAGGACCAGAATTCAAATCAGGGCTCCCCAGCAGGCTGTATGATAGCCACGTGGCTGCCTTGGTGGGATCAAGCCCACCTCTGCCCTGGAGGTGCCCACAGTGGTGAAGCTCTTCTCCTCCAGGCCCCTTCCGATCCTGTCCCACTGGCTGCATCCCTCACCTTTAGTGCCCTCCACCTGACCCCCGGGTGAAGTGTGACCTCCTCAGGGCTAGCCACAGCCTGGCTCAGCCAGACACTCCCACCCCATCCACTACTGAGCTGCACCCTAGTTCCTCCGTTTATGTTTCAGTTTGAGGTGTTTCTATGTCCCTCCCAGCCTCCGCTAGTAGTCATAACAGCCTCTGCTTTTGTAACCAGGGTTGCAACAGAGGGAAATTAGAAATAACTGTGGCTTGAGCAGCAGATGGGCTAAGAATCCTTAGCTCTGGCTGACAGAGGAAGCTGAGAGAGCCAACTACTCCTAGGCTCCAGTTGCTACGGGACTGAAAGGGTAAAAAAGAGAAAGAAGAGGTGTACAAATTGGAGATGCCACCTCCTTTCCAGAAAAAGAGGATAGAGGCCCCTATTAATGGCACACCCAGTGCTCCGCACCCCAGCCCTACACGCAGCTCTGCAGTGCTTGTCTCCAGCATCCTGGAGGCGTGGTGGGGTAACAAAGTAACAGGAACCCAGGCCTGAGTACTGAGGCCGTCACCCAGCAGCCAGCCTTGGGCTGGCCCTCTTGCCTCTGTAACTCTGCACCTCACCCCACACCTCAGTCCCACCAAACCCTCTCTGCCTCCTGCTTTACTCTGCTAGTGGCTGATGTGACCCCATGCTGTGGGGCTACATTTTACTCTGGAGGCAACTGGAGCCCCCAAGGAGAAGGCAAGGGGACTCAGGGCCAGTTCCCATGTGGGTCCCCAAAGGCCAAAGCGGGTAGAGCTGGGCCCTGGCTGAGGGGCTCTCAAGGACCTCCTGTTCCATGTGCTGAGGATTACTCAGAGGTGTGGACAGGAAGCTTGGGAACCTCTAGGAAGGAACCTCTGGGCTGGCTATACCCAAACACCAGAAGTACACACAGAACAATTGCAGTGGGTGAAATGCTTGTATTTTCCCAAATTTGCCTGCTGAAACCTAATCTCAAAGTGATGGCAGTTAGGTTAGCAGGGTGCAGCCCTCATTAATAGAAATAGTGTCCCATAAAAGCAGTGAGGACAGCACAGGGTCAGTAGTCTGCAGCCCAGAAGCAGACCCTACAGGAGCCCATTCAGGATGGTACCCTGATTTCAGACTTCCCAGCTCCCAAGCGGAGAGAAACCAACGTCTGTGGTCCCTAAGCCACCCAGCCATGATGTTTTCTTACAGAAGTCGAGTGGGCCAAGACACTAACCCAAGCAAAAGCACAGGAAAGAGAGCCAGTGTGGGATGTGGGTCTCTAGCCTTCTGTAGTAAGATCTGTTCTTGAAAGGAGCCAGAGAGTCCTCAAACTACTGCCACCTGATGCTCACTCTTAACATCAGGGCTCACCTGCATGCACAGCTCCAAACCAGGGAGCTCACTTCCCACCTCCTGTGGCTCAGGCATCCCCAGGGCCTCTGCAGCCCAGGTCTAATGGCTGGAGCACCCCCAAACCCAGACAGCACCCTCCCAGAGCAGACCCTGGAGGTGGAGTGGTCCCTGAAGAGCATCCTCAGTGGGGGCTTCCTGGGAGGGACCTTGGTCAGGGCTGGGCCTCCACAGCATGGCTCCATCCTCGTGAGGCGGCCCTGGGGTGGTGTGAGGGCTACCCTGACGTGTTCCGGCCACAGCCCATCTCACCCATCCAGCCTCTGGGCAGGGTTGGCTCCTGGCCCCTGTATGCCTACTCCACCAGCCACCAACTACCTCGGTCTTCTTGGTCTCTTGGCACTGCCACCCCGGCGCCCATAGGGGTTGCTGGGGGGCAATGGGCTGTGGTGTTGGCCTCCGCTGTCTGCAGACCCTGGGGCAGAGAGGAGACCTTTAGTGGACCAGGCAGATTTAAGTGAAGCCAGCACCCCAGCTGGGGACCTGACCTTGGACTCCACACCCACAGGCCCTCCCTCTTCCAGCCCCACTGTACTGAAGGCTGCTGGCTGAGTCCTCTGGAACTTCCCTCCCTCCCTGTGGGTCTGATGTGGTTTGAACTGTTCAGGCATCACCACACCTGTCCCAGGGGCCCTTCTGAAGCCACATGTCCCCTCTAATGGCTGCACCCAGCAGCTCTGCCGGCTATGTTCAGGTCCAGGGTTCTGGAGGACCCTTCTCATCCCCCTCCCTCTCCCTCTGACTCAGCCTTCCAGCTCAGACCCCACCTCCCTCCCAGGTCCTGCCTGGCCCGACTGCACTCAGGGCCTGCTGAGTGTGAAGCTCAGGTTTGTGGGTATGCCACTCTCCCTCCCACCCCGGGCCTTGAGGCTGGTAGGGTGGGAGCCACAGGACTGCAAAGAGTGGGATGGGGTCAGCACTGACCTCGAAGGTCCCGGGGCAGGAGGGCCGCCCTGCTGGGGCCTGAACTGTTCTGCCATGTGGGGCTGGGGAAGGTGAAGCTGACTTCTGGAACATGCAGTGCGGCTTCATCTACACAGTCAGACCAGAGACAGGAGAATGTTATTTTTAGGAACTACCCTGTGAATGCCAGAAATAAACTACAATCTACTATGTGTTGGTGCCTTACCTCACTGGCCTTGTCCCAGCCCTGGAGGTTTATTCATTTTATTGTATTCATTTATTTGGCTTTTTGAGACAGGGTCTTGCTAAGTCACCCGGCTGGCCTCAAATTCACGATCCTCCTGCCTCGGCCTCCTGAGTGCTGAGATTATGGGCATGTGTCATGGCACCCACCAAAGGTTTATGTTTTGTTTTGTTTTGTTTTGTACCAGGGATTGAACTCAGGACCTTGTGCTTGCAAGGCAGGTGGTGGAACCACTGAGCTAAATCCCTGGCCCTAAAGGTTTATGTTTTATGTGAACTCCTGCAGTGGTTTTTCAGTTCCTCCCAGCCCCACTCCTGGTTTGTTCCTTCTCCAGTCCCAACTAAACATCTTTCTTCTATCCCTCCTTGCTCTCAGCTGCCCACTGCATGGCCGCAAAGAAGCTTTTTTGGGTTTATCAAACATCCACAAATAGAAAAGAGGCTAGGGGCTAGGCATGGTGGCACACACTGGCACTCTAGGAGATTGAGGCAAGAGGATCACAAATTCAAGCCCAGCCTGGCCAACTTAGCAATACCGTGTCTCAAAAAATAAAAAGGACCGGGAATGTAGTTCAGTCAGTGCAAAAGGCCCTGAATTCAATATCCAGTACTGGGAAAAAACCCAACACATTTGTTATTTATTTAGGTTTGTTTTGAGACAGGGTCTTACTATTAGTTCAGGCTGTCCTTAAACTCACTGTGTAGCCTAGGCTGGCCTTGAACTCTCAGCAATCCTCCTGACTCAGCTTCCCAAGTTCTGGGATTACACCATGCCCTGGAACATTTGTATTTATTTATTTATTTATTTATTTATTTATTTATTTATGTTTGGTTTTTTTGAGACAGGGTCTCACTGTGTAATTGAGACTGACCTGGGACTCACTATGTAGCCCAGGCTGGTCTCGAACTCACAGTGATTCTCCTGACTCAGCCTCCTGAGTGCTGGGATTATAGGCGTTGCCACTATGCCTAGCTGGAACATTTATTTTTAAAGCAATCAAGAGGAGGAACAGTAGGGAAGGATGTGGGTCTCCCCCATCTGAGCTGGGTACCCTCTTCCTTGGGCCCCTGCTCAACGTTCACCACACAGAGGCCCCCCAACTGCCCAAACTCTAGTCATACTTTTCCTAACTCCATCCTTCTGCCTGGCCTCATTCCATTCTCAGCAAATCTGTCCCTGAGGAGCGATTCCCGGGAGCTCAGCCCTGCAGGCCTTGGATGCGGGTGACCTGGCTTCCTAATAAAATGTGCACTCAGCTTGGGTCTGCATGGCCAGCAGGGAAGGGGCTCCCTTGTCTCCCCCAGCCACATGCAGGCCTTCCTCGTACCCTGACAGGCTCAGAGGGAGGGCCCTGGGGCACCATGCCTGGCCATCCTGCTGACACACGTGTGACCCTGGGGAGGTCACTATTGCTCTCCAGCCTTGGCACATGGTATGTGCTCAGGAAGGGGGAGCCTTTACAGGGGAGCAGCCATGCGAGCTGGCACACCCTGAGATCTGTAGGGAGGACAGGCTCATCTGTTTCCTTCCATTTTCAGGGACTGACACTTGTGTAAATGAAACAAAAGTGAAAAATGAAACAGTTTTTAAAATGCAGAGGGTCTGCCTGGCAAATTCAAGGCCCTAAGTTTGCTTCCTGGTGCTAAAAATAAAAAATAAAAATAAAAATTTAGGCATTGGTCAGGAATTATGGGATTGCCACATTGCCACATTATGTTTTGAAGGGGTCTCCCTGTGTGCTCTCCTTGCAGTAGCAGTGTGGGTACCCTCTGTGGGTGAGCACCAGCCCTGCCGTGCTTTGTGGCTGTAACCACCTGAACACAGCTGGCGTCCTGTCACAAGAGTGGTGGCAGAAGTCCACAAGGACGCCATTCTCGGTGGCCACTTCGGCATGGTGGGTTCACACATGGTTTTCTCCTTATTTGTAATTTTGATCTATGTGACAGAATGTTCACAGTGAGCATCAACTTTTTTTCTTTTTATAGCATTGGGGATTGAACCCAGGACCTTTGCACTAAGCTACATCCCCAGCCCTGTTTTAAAATTTTTTATTTTGAGACAGGATCTTGCTAAGCCACTAAGTTGCCCAGGCTGGGCTCAAACTTTTGATCCTCCTGCCTCAACCTCCCAGAGTGCTGCAATCATAGGCCTGGGCCACCATGCCTAGTTCTCTTTTTGTACTAATCACTCCCAAGGAGCCACGACTCAGACCTGCACTGCTCCTTCAGGGCCAGGAATGAGGTCCGTGCTGAGGCAGCTGACTGTATGCAGGACTGCAGTCCCCAGCTGGAGCCCACAGCCATGCCAGACAAACCAGCAGCAAAACTGGGTGCCCTGCAAGTGTCTGCTTCACCATGCCAGCAGCCTTAGCTCACTCATTGCCCTACGAAGTCCTGAGATTCAATCACACCATGGCACAGCCAGGTGATAGCAGGCTAGACCAAGGATGGAGAACCTTTTAGAGCTTTCAGTGATACAAACATCCCATTACAGCATGAATGCCACAGGTTTGCCACCACTGGCCTAGACTCTGACATGTTCCAAATGCACATTCAGAAGAAAGAATAGCATTGGGTGCAGGTGGTGCATACCTGGGAGGCTGAGGCAGGAAGACTGCAAATCTGAGCCCAGCCTTGGCAACTTAGTGACTTAGCAAGACACTGTCTCAAAATAAAAATAAAAAAGGGTGGGATGCACCCAGTGAAAAGGTCTTGGATTCAATGCCCTGTAAAATAAAAATAGATAGAAAAGAACAAGCTATTTTTTTTCCTCCATCCTATACCTGTGTGAAAACTGAGAGTGGGTTTTATCTTGGAGGTGGCAGGGACAGCTGGGAAGAAGTTCTTTCCTGTTGACTTTGATGGCTGGAAGTGTCCAGGCGGCAGCTGGCTCTCAGCTAAATGCTCTACAGAGAGGAGAGGTTTCTCCATCACCTGCAAGGAAAGCACACACAGCAGGGCAGGTGTGAGCTGGGGGTATAAGAGGGGTGAAAGGTCAAGGTCATACACCGATTAAGGTCCTACTGTGTTCTGTGTAAATGAGTGGAGCTCCTGCTGGCCCTCTCTTCAGCCCTCAGGGATGAGTGAATGAAAGAATGAATGCATGACATTCTGGCTGTGTTCCCCCTGCCTTCCCTCATCTAGCCCCCCTCACGGAAGGAGCTCCCACCAAAATTAATTATGTATCAACCCACTGGGCTGTTGCTGAACAGTGTCCTGGGTTTGTCTGGGAGTGTCCTTTTGGGTGAGTGCAACATTTTGATCTGTGCACTGAGAAAAGCAGATAGCCCCTATCGTGTGGGTGGGCCTTATCCAGTCAGGTGAAAGTCTGAACAGAACAGAAAAGCAGGCCTTCCTTCAGTAGGAAAGCACTCCCCCTGACTCATGGCCTTCCAGGCCTGGCCATGGGCTTTCTCCTTTGAACTGAAACACTGGCTCTCCTGGGTCTCCAGTTGCTGCCTCAGTCTTGGATCTGGGGACTGGCCAGATTCCAAAATGGCTTGAGCTGCTTCCTGGTGACAGACCTCTCTTTCTCCCTGTGTCTGTGCAGACAGAGTTCTGTTTCTCGAGAGAACACTGACAACTGCCCTTCCTGGGACCCTTATTGCTGCCTTCCCTTGCTGCACAAGTCACCAGTTCCGAGTCATTCTCAAGCCAGTGGGCACCCTGTGTCCGAGAGCTTGGGGCTCTGGTTGGCAGAGTCAGGACAAAGCTTTGCCACACCCTGGCTACTGGCCATGCACCCACTTGTTCATTCACCATTTATAGTGAGAAAGAAACCCCTCCAAGGAAAGACTACACCCCTGGGAGATGTGGGGACCCACAGACTATGCCATACCCTGGCTCCTCAACCCCACATTCTAATGTGCATCTGTGGACGTGCTTGGCAAGCTCTCACCCCTGAGCTGTACCCCAGCCTTGGGACTCTGCTGACCTTTGGTGTGGCTCACATCACTCAGTACACTAAGCCAGCAATTCAAAGAGGAGGCTACAGTCCTATAGGGAGACTGATAGTGTTGGTCATAGTTAGAGACTAAAGGATCCTATGTGGCCATTAAAAGGGAAACAGAAACCCTCATGGTGGCCAGAGTGGAGCTGGTCTGGCAAGTTGTGCCCTCACACACCCCGCAGAAGTGGACAGTGGCCTGGATGGAGGGCCAGTACCGGGCTCTGCAAGGGGGAGAGAGATAGCAGCAACTGAGTCTCATAGCCATGGTCTCCCTGGTTATTTAACTGCTATGTTCTGGAACCAAGTAATGCACCTCTTCCTTAAATTAAAATTCAAATACTGGGGCTGGAGATTTAGCTCAGTGGTTCTGCTGCCTGCCTCACAAGCACAAGGTCGTGAGTTCAATCCCCGGTACAAAAAAAAATTAAAATTAAAACACTGGCTGCACATGGTTGCATGCATCTGTAATCCTGGAACTCTGAGAAGCTGAGGCAGGAGGGTTGCAAATTCAAGCCCAACCTGAACAATTTAGTGAGATATTGTCTCAAAAAATGAAAAGGGCTGGCGTCGCAGTACAGTGCAAAGGCCCCAGGTTCAATCCCCAGTGCTGAAAAAAACTAAATCCTCGACTGGGAATGTAGCTTAGTGAAAAAGTGCTTACCTAGCTTGTGTGGGACCTGGGTTCCACCCCCAGAACCAAAAGAAAAGAGAATTTACAAAACCATATTAAGGAAAGACCAAACATCTTGCAGCACTGAGCTCAAGCACTGCACGGAGCGGATGGCCTGGAGCTGAAACTTCCATGGGAGCCTGCGAAGTAGTGGGGGCAGATGCAGGGCAGGTGATCTAGTGGAGTCCCCAGCCTGCCCACCCTGGCCTGGCTCCACTCCAGCAGCCAGGCAATGGTGCCCAGCTGACATTCACCTACCGGTTGCACGCTGTAGGTAACAGATGGCGATCGCTTTCTCCTGGCCTTCCTTTCCATGCAGTGGTCCCTGCCTGGGCTGGCAGGGAGCCACCTCTTGTCTGCAGGGCTGGGGTCTGGGGTGGCCCTGGGCTTTGGGTCCCTGGAGTCCAGGGCCGCCTCCTCCAGGAGGTGGCGGGAGGAGCCACTGCTGCTGCCCTCTTGGTCCTGTGCCTTGAAGCGCCGGGTGGCCGCGATTCGGGCAATGCTCTTGGTACCCAGAGCCATTTCCTTGAGGGCCTGGGCACTCAGGGCTGGGCTGCCAGCCTTCCCCTCTAGCCATGGGGTGCCCAACTCCAGACCAGCTGGGGGGTTTATCTTGGAGATGAGGCTTTTCATGGTCAGGGTGCTCGGTTTCTGTAGGAAATAGCACCAGAGGGATGGTCAGAGGTCACTGGTCATTGTACCACTGTTGTCCCCAGGAGCAGACCCAGGACAGTGACTTGAGGCCGGGGTCATGGCACCCAGGGTCACTGGCCAGGGCTTCTCCTGGCACAGTCCCAGCCCTCTGCAGGTGAAGCAGCCCCGGCAGGTGCCTACAGAGGGGCATCCTTGCTGGTGGTCAGCAGCTGAAATATCTGCAGCTTGCTCATTTATACTGGTTGAGCAAGAAGAGCATAACAGCTTCTTTTAAAAAATGGTGCCCTGTCTCAAACTCGCAGCCTCATGCATGCCAGGCCAGCACTCCTTCATGAGCTATGCCCAGCCCAGCCTGTGGGCTTCCTCATGACTGTTTACCGGAAAGGACCAGTTACCGACTTGGGGATATCCAAAGTCTTCTCCTTGCTGAACCCACCCACCTGCCATCCTACCTACAAGTGCCTGTTTCACTCCTGTCCCCATATAAAAAGAGACTGTGCTTGCCGGAGGACAGGCAGATACACACAGCAAAGGGAGGACAGGAATGAGGAATGGAGCCAGAATTCCAGTGCAGGTGGCGCAGGGGGCTCGAAACCATGAGTGACAGGGAAATGAGGAGGTGGACATCACTGCATTATTCAGCAGCAGAGCACTGTGGGGGGTGTCACTGAGTATCTTGGGACAGGCAGTGAGCGAGATGATGCTCTTCAAGAGAGATGCAAAGGAATGAAGAGCAATTTTCCTTTAGGTTATTGAATCAGTTTTTTTGTTTTTTGTTTTTTAAATTTGGCATCATGCCGAGGCCCTTGGGTTACTCATTTTATGGTGAAGAAACAGACTCAGAGATGTGAGGTAACTTGCCCAAGGTCACACAGCTAGCAAGGGCTAGCGTAGGATTTGAGTCCAGGTCCAGCTGGGTCCTAAGCCCCAAAATGCCCACACCTGGGAGAGCTGGAGAGCCAGGCGAAGGAGGCCACCAGAACCTATGAGGGGCTTTAACTCTCACACGCACTTGTTCCTTTCAGGGACAATACTCACCTCATGCTAGTGGCCGCTACATTGTGAGGGGCTTAGGGGAAGCCCTTCTTTCAGACCCCCTACTCACCCATGCACTCTGAGGTGGTGTGAGGGCCCCCTTAGCACTAGGCACACCAACCTCCAGCATGGGCGGAGTCAGCAGGGTGCGAAGAGGCCGGGGAGGGAGGAGAGAGTCCTTCCGGCCTGGCCTTCTCGATGGTGTGGCTTTTGACGACTTGTTACCGTGACTGCAGGTGAAGCAGAGGCACAGCAGAGCTACTGTCAGGGCCTGAATCTGGACTTCTGCACCACTCGAGCCACGAAGGCTGTGTCCCCACACTGGGGCCAGGCAGTGGCCTCGGTCATACTCAGGTCGCCTAACATGGCCAGGCCTATGCTGAGGGCCATGGGTGCACTGGCTCCTGGCAGAGGGGCCCTGCCTCACCTCTGTGTTTCAACGGAGCTAAACACTCAGTGCGCCAGGACCCCTGTGTGCTGTGGTCCTGTACCGAGAGGGCTGGGGGCGAGCAGGAAGATCCCTCATCAGACCAGGGGTCAAACAGCCTTGGGACAGGTGCCCTCAGAGGTCTGTTAGGTGGGTGAGGTAACTCCTGCTGGCCCCTGGAGAGATCGGTTCAGGATAGAGAGTTAGGGCGCTGGGCCAGTCAGACCTGCAGGGAGGAAGGGGCTGGAACCTGAGCTTGCAACACACCCACACAATCAAGCCCTTGTGAAACTTGGTCCCAGAGGAAACTCTAGCACTACTCCTCAGCTGAGGACACAGTGCCCCTGAGCCCGGGCCAGCTGGAGGGAGCTCAGGTGAGGTCTGACCCATCCAGGCTTTTTTGGCTATAGGTCTGGCTCTGCACAGCAAGGTAGAGCCTGGCTCCTCCCAGGGAGAGTGGTGTGGCCAGGCTGAGCAATGGTCTTGCAGCCCGCTCTGGACACGAAGTTCACAGGGTGGAGCTGACAGTGAACCAAGGCAGGGGTTCCAGGGGTGGAGAGGCATCCAGCCCAGACTGGGGCTGGAACACACATGTACACGACATGTGACACACGGACACAGGCATTCATTGCACAGATGTGCAGGGGACCCAGAAAATGAGACTCCTATGTGAGGGCATTAGAGGCAAGGTCCTTCTCTAACCTTCCGCAGCCTCCTGTGTCTTGTAATTATCCCCAGGATAATACTCTTCCCCACAGCACCACACTTGTGAACCTCCAGCCTCAGCCTCCTGAGTAGCTGGGATTATAGGTGTGTCCCCCTGTACCTGGCTCAGGTTATTCTTAAAATAACCCTGCAGGAAGGGGACATTAGACTTACTTCATCAAAGAGGAAGCAGGAGCTCCTCGATGAGCCAAAGTCCTCAGTTCCTACCCAGGCCCCATCTCACTTACCTGTCTCTCTCCAGAAGCATTGGGAGCAGATCAGACTGGAGGCCCCACGGGAGGTTTTTCCTGTCCCCATGCTGGTCTCCACTGGCCTCCTCCGGCAGAGACGGTATATTCAGAACAGAGGCATCCTGGGACCAGACAGACAAGGCCACTGAGGGCAGCAGGGATGCAGGTAAGACATGTCACCAAGAAGAAGGTCTCTGAGGGGCCACGGAATAGTTGATGCCCTTCCTGCCACCATCATGCAGTGGGGGAGGCAGTGAGGCAGCCCCATCACTCAAGCCCCTGCCACGGAGACAGAGGGAAGTGCTGCTGTTCAGGAGCCCCTAGGGAACATCACAGGGTCATGTCCGTGGACAGAAATGGGACTGGGGGACACCTGTAGTCAGACACCAGAAGTCTGCTGGTCCTCAAAAGGCTAGACACAGAATTGTTGTACAAGCCAGCAATTCCACTTCTGGTTTCTACTTCAAAGAACATATTGCTGGGGATGGGGATTTAGCTCAGTGGAACCACACCCGCCTAGCAAGCACAAGGTCCTGAGTTCAATCCCCAGTACCACAAAAAAAAAAAAAAAAAAAAAAAAAAAAAAAGAGACAGAGAGAAATAAAAGGCATATTGCCCTTATTTCCCCCTCAAAAATACCTTTTCTCACTTTGAACACTTATCCCATTATTCTTGCCACTTTCAGAAGCAGTTCTGCAAGTCCTCTTTTGTGAGTCTCTTAAGTGGCACCATTGTGGCTGCCTCTGTGTCCTGAATTGATTCAAAATACGTGCCTTTCATGGTCATTTTGACTTATGGGAAGAGCCAGAAGTTGCACAGTGGGTGAGGATGAGCTATCATGTTTTTATTTGATATAAATTGCCATAAACATTTTGAATCAATTCAGGACATTGAGGCAGCCAGGAAAAGATACTCATGAAAGGAGACTTCCAGAACTGCTTCAGAAGGTGGCAAGAACAATGGGAAAAGTCTGTTTGAAGAGAAGAGGATCTGGGCATGGTGGTGCATGTCTGTAATCCCAGCCCTCTGGAGGCTAAGGCAGGAGGATTGCCGAGTGGTCAAGGCCAACCTGGGCTACATAGTGAGTTCAAGCCCAACCTGAACTACACAGCAAGACACTGTCTCAAAAAAACAAACAAAAAACAAACAAACAAAAAAGAGGGGGAACTATTTTGAGGGGAAATAATAGTTATGTGTCTTACACTGTAATAACATTTTTTATTTTTAAAATTTAAACATTCACTGTATGCTTTGACCACACCTCATATTTGTGCACTGGTGTTCACAGTGGGTCAGACTCACCTGCAGGGAGCTGGCCATCCCGCAGTGCAGCAGCAGTAAGTGGTCCAGGGTGCCCTCTCCCAGCTCCTGGAAGTACAGCTGGTACTGCCTCTCCAGGGCCTCTGGTACCTGTATGCCACTATCTGTGGTGCCAGGAAAGTAGGGATTAGAGCAGGGTCAGGGTACCACATCTACCCACCCAAACACAAAACCAGGCAAATAGCCACCACTTGTTAAAAAGATGGTACCATTGTTTTGAGAAGGCAAAAATTCTTACTTCATAGAAAGAAGAGGCTTTTATGGTGTGTTCTTCTATGTTTTCATCTATTTTTATTTTTTTCAATACTGGGGTTTGAACCCAGGGCCTCATGACAGGTGGTCTGCTACTAAGCTGTACCCACAATCCAAGCTTAAAATTTTTCTATTGTCCAGTGATAAATGACGTTAATGATTCTAATGATGGACAAATAAAATTTAAGTTAAAGTTAAAGAACCATTTCTCAAACTCCAAAAGAATTGAAAAGAAGCTTTAAAAAAAACCTGACAGGCATGGTGGCTCATGCCTATAATCCCAGCACTTGGGAGTCATAGGCAGGAGGAACACCACCTAGGATACGTAGTAAATTCAAGGTCAGCCTGAACTACATAACAAAAACTGTCTGAAAACAAAAAACAAAAAACCAACTTGTACACACATGTTCTTAGCAACATTACTCACAATCACCAAAAAAGATAGAAACATCCCACGTGATCCTACAATCCCAGTGTTCTGAGAGGCTGTGGCAAGAGGATTGCAAGTTCAAGCCTCATCTGTGTAATGTAGTGATTTATAAATAGGGAGGGGTGGATGGGGTTCAAGGGAGGGCCAGGGGAATGGGGAAAAAATGAGAACCAAGTATATTATGTACAGGTACAAATTTCCAGTGATGAATGTCATTATATTGCATACCTAAAATGCACCCATAAAATTAATTTAAAAATAAATTTAAAAAAGGAAACACCCCAGATGTACCTGAACATCTGAATGGAAAAATCAAATTGGTCTGTCCACATAGCAGGGTACAACTCAGCCATAAAAAGGAATGATGTTCCAACACAGGCTGTGACATGAGTGAGTCTAAGAAACATTATACTCAGGGAACAGTCAGGCACAGAAGATCATGTGCTGAATGGCTCCATTTCTGTGAAGCATCCAGGACAGAGATGGAGCGCAGACTGGGGGCTTCAAGGGCCTGGACTGGGCACAGGGAGCCGCTGTGAGTGGGGTGGGGTTTCTGGCTCAGTGAGGAGCTCTAGAGCCAGACAGAGCAGTGGCCAACCATGGTGGGGGACACATGGAATGCCACTGGATGATCAACATGTGCAAAATGATGAATTTCGTGTGATATATTTTAATATTTAAATACATTTTATTAGTGTGTGTTAATTTCATAAAATTTTAATTTCAGTGTGGTCATTTCCTACATGCACACGGCATGTTTTGATTGTAACCACTCCCCCTTGCCATCCCTTACACCCCTACTGCCACCCTTATTATTCCCTTCTATTGTCTAAAAATAGTCTTCCTTCTACTTTCATGCCATCTCTTTTTTCTCTTTCTCTTTCTTAGCTTCCACACATTAAGGAAAACGTGATACTTGTCTTGCTAAGTCTGGCTTATTCCACTTAACATAATGAAATGTCATTTCTCTAGGTCCATCCATTTTCCTGCAAATGACATAATTTTGCTCTTCATGGTAGTTGAATAATACTCCATTGTGTATATATACCACATTTTCTTTTCAAAGATTTACTCTGAACTCCAGACTGGATTTGAACTCATTATGTAGGCCCAAAATGGCTTAGAATTCTTGGTGATCCTCCTGCCTCAGCCTCCTAAGTGCTAGGATTACAGATGTGTGCCACCATACCTGGCTGTGTCACATTTGCTTTATCCATTCATCTGTTGGTGGGCTCCAAGGCTAGTTCTATAGCTTAGCTATTGTGAACTGCACCACAGTAAACATGAGCATACAGGCATCTCTATAGTACGATGACTTCAATTTGGGAGGAATACGCCAATAAGAAGTACAGCTGGATCAAATGGTAGCACTATTTATAGCTTTTTGAGGAATCTTCAAAGTGATTTCCATAGTGATTGCACTAATTTACATTCCTACCAACAGGGCAGAAGACTCCTTTTCCCTACATCCTTGCCACCACATATTATATTTTTGTGTTCTCAAGGATGGGCATTCTGACTGAGATGAGATGGACTCTCAATGTAGTTTTCACTTGCATTTCCCTCGTGTTATATAATCCTTACCTCAGTGAAAAACCTTAAAGGAGAAAATTGAAAAACAGCATAGTTACACCTCTGACAAAATTTGATTGCATACAGGCAGGGAATAGATTATAGGGAATCTATTTTCCTTTCCAAAACACTTTTTTACTGTTGCTATAAATGTTTAATGCATTTTCTCAGCCAGGTGCAGCAGTGCATGCCTGTAATTCCAGCACTCTGGGAGGCTGAGGCAGGAGGATCACAAGTTTGATCCCAGCCTGGGGCAGTTTAGCAAGACTGTCTCAAAAAATAAAAAAGGGCTGGAGATGTAGTTTAGGCCTGAAGTTCAACCCCCAGTACAAAACAAAACAAAAGCCTGACTACAGTGGGTACTCAGAACTATTTTTTGGTTTAGGAACGTTAACAGGACAAAAGGCAAGGCTAAGATACAGTCTGGAGATTGTATTCTGTCACTGTTGGTATCCTGCCCTCACATAAGAAAATGCACTTATTTTTAGAAAATATACCCTAAAGTATTTAAGGGTTTAAACATGGTTTAGGGGAGAAAGAAAGAGGGAAGGAGGGAGGGAGAAAGGGAGGGAGGGGGGGAGGGAGGAAGGAAAAGAAAGAAAAAGAGAAAGAGAGAAAGAAAGGAAGGAAGGAAGGAAGGAAGAAGGGTAAAAGTGAATTATTACATGGGAGTTTAGAGATATTCTCTGTACTATTCCTGAAACTTTTCTGTAAGTCTGAAAGTATGTAAAAACAAAAGCTAGAAAAGAAGCTGGGTGTGGTGGTGCACATTTGTAATCCCTGGTACTGTGGGAAGCTGAGGCTGGAGGATCACAAGTTGAAGCCCAGCTAAGCAAACAGGTGATTTAGCACAAACCTGTATCAGAGTTTTAAAAATGAGGAGGTGATGGGGAGATGCTAAGGCCCAAGTTTCAATCCCCAGAACTGCTACCCAGACACAAACATTTCTCCAGAGAGGCAGATTTTACTCACCCTTATAGAACAATCTCCGGGTGAGGGAGAGAACACAGCCCCCGTGGGTATGCAGCATGCTCCGTGGATGTGAGTGGACATCTGCCCAGCTGCCCTCTCACTGCACAAACCATCTGGAGAGGATGCAGGGGAAGCTGCCCACAGTAGGCTGGGCCAGGAGGGAAGGAGGCTGGTGTCCACTCCAGGCCATGGGGAACTGACTGTCCAGTGATTTTTTTTTTTTTGTACCAGGGATCAAACTCAGAACCTTGCGCTTGTGAGGCAGGCAGTGGAAACACCGAGCTAAATCCCTGGCCCTGTTCGGTGATTTTTGTGTGTTTGTTTTGTGATATTGGACCAAAGGGCACTCTACTATGGAGCTACATCCCCTTTTCAATTTTTTTATTTTGAGACAAATTCTCACTAAGTTGCTAAATTGTCCAGGTGGGACTTGAACTTGTGATTCTCCTGCAGAGCACTGGGATTACAGGTGTACAGCACCATGCCCAGTTGGTTCAATGTTTTTAACCACAGGAACAGCCTCCATTTTCTACACAGTAACAACATAAACCTGAGCACCCAGCAGGCTGGGCTCACCCTGCATCAACTGCCGCTGCCCCTGGATGAGCTGCTCGCAGAGCCGTCGGTGCTGGTGGCAGCGCTGGATCACCAGGTCCTTCTGGCACAGCAGGCTCTTGCGGCACAGGCCATCAGCCCGCAGCTCTGTGTTCTCCACCTCCAGCTCATGGGCTCTGCACAGCAACCGCAGCACCTCCCGCTGGTCCTCGCTGGTCACCTGCGCGGGCAGCAGCGTCTCCATCTGCGATGCTTTCTCCTTGGCGAGGGCCAGCCGCTGCTCCAGGCCGGCCTGGGGGAGAGCAGGTGCTCAGCGTGGTGCAGGCCCATACTTGCTTGTTTGTGGACAGGTCTTTACTCACATAGGCATAAGTAGACTTAGATTCACTTAAGGTTAAGTAATTATAAATGATATGGGGTTTTTCATTTTTTTGTTGTTGTTTTTGTTTTTTTTGGTACTGGGGATTGAACTCAGGACCTTGTGCTTGCAAGGCAGGCGGCAGAAGCACTGAGCTAAATCCCTGATCCAAGTAAATATAAATGTTAAACACACCTCCAAAACACCTTCCTGGCAACCCTCAATTAGTGCTTGATTAGACCACATCTCCAGCCTGCTCGAGGTGACACTGAGGAGCAGTGTCACACAGCATAACTTCATCCATAACGCTTGGGCCCAGGCAGGCCTGTGAGCCGAGAATCCAGGCTCCAGGAATGGGTCAGATGGCAGCTTCCAGCACACTGTGAAGGCTGTCTGGCTACTGCCTTCTTGATCTGTGATCAGAAGGGGTCTGCTACGGGGGTTGGCTCAATGCCCCCTGCCAGGATCCTACTCCCCAGCCTTCCAAGTGGCCTCCTCCACTCCACTGACTCCCTGGCTGAACAAACAGCCCCTCCTGTCCCTTACCAGCTTCTGTCTCCAGGGCGGGGTTACCATACAGAACTGTGGAGTGGTGCTCTGGACTCCGTCAGATAGTGAGCTCATTCATCTTTTTCTCTTCAGACAGGGTCGTGTGACACTGCCCAAACTGGCCTCAAACTTGTGATCCTCCTACCTCATCCTTCTAAGTAGCTGGGATTAAAGGCTATACCTTGAGGCCTGGCCTTGTTGCTCTTTAGGTCCCCAGAGCCTGACATGGAGCTGGACACTTACAGCACTTTGCTCACTAACTAGTCAATTAGCAGACCCATCGCTCACAGACCACCACATATCAGTATCTATATCTGACTGTGCAGGGTCACAATTTCTCACTGGTACACAGCTCTAGCTCAAGCAAAAAAATTTTTCTTAGTTTTAAAGGTCAGAGGAAATCTGACTTTTAATTTTGAAGAGAAATTGCATAATCTCTGAATTGCTGCAGGCAGATGTAATAATATGAAGAGGTCCTTGGTTTGGTTACATAGCTTTTAAGTGAAATAAATGCCTCCTGCTTTTAACAACATGATATCATCAGACAGTTTGCGCCTTTGCCTGGAAATATACCCCCAAACGTTTAACTAAGGGTGCAGCAGCACCAGTTGCCCCCAAGTCTCCATCACATGCCAGCTCTGAAAGACACTATTAAGTAACCAGCTATTACATAAATAGCTCATATAAATAATTAGCTCTTCTCAGGACACAAAACTGTGAAAAGACTTCCTTCTCCAGAGAGGATCTTGGATGTGGTTTCCTTCTGGCCACAGCCCAGGTCCGCCTATGACTTGCTTAACCAGAATCCAGCACAGACTGAGCAAGATGCCCGTGGAATCGCTTTGCAATCTGTAAAGTGCTTGTTCCACATGAGGGAATATTGCAAGGGGAAGGAGCTGAAGGCTTTGCCCTTCTAGGCTCCATCCAATGAAGGCGAGTAGGGCAAAGGGTCTCAGTGGGGCCCACAGTGCCACCCTTGCCCCATTTCCACACAACTGGCCCACAGACTGCCTAGGGGAGCCATAACTCTACACCGTGGGCCCCAAGCATGAGGTCAGACCCAGGTCAAGCCCCAGCCAATGCCTCCTGTTCTGGGGCTTTGGGTCAATTTACTCAGTATCTCCAAGCCTCAGTTTTCTCATCTATAAGGTAGTCACGACCGGCCTTCTCTATGGATGGGATGATGCTCACAAAGGATCAGCTGCCCTTGACCAACAAGCACCATCCCCTGACTCTAAACCACCCGGTCTCTCCCTCTCCTCACCTTCAGGGCTGAGGTTTTCCGATGCTCAGCTAAAAGTAGGTTGACTTCCTCTCTGGCCACAGCCACCTCATGTGGCTCTGCGGATGCATCTTCCCCATCAGTGTCTGCCAGCTCTTCATCCTTCTCCGACTCACCCTGGTCCCTCTGCATGTGGAGGTCACTCTTCTCTCGCTCCCAGCTGCAGCCACAACAGGGGGTCAAAGTACAAGCCTTTCCCAGGGACTGGGGGTCTTGATACCTCCCATCTCAGGAATCCTCCAACTTTTTTTTTTTTTCAACACCGAAGATTGAACTCCAGGCCTTCAAACTGAGCCACATCCCCAGCCCTGTATGCTGTATGTAATATATGTGTGTATGTAAACTATATATATGTACACATATACAAATACCTCAGTTCGTGAATGTTTCTGTTTGTAAACGATTCAGTTCACAAACAAAAATGTTCCATCAAATCTTGCTTCCCTTCACAAATTCCACATTGGGAAACAAACACGACCATGGCCATCTTCCCCCACAAACACAAAAGCAGCCATCTTCTCCCAAATCATAAAATATTAAGTAGGTAAAATGAGGGACCATTGTATAACTGTATATATATAACTACATATAATTTATCATAAAATATTAAGTAGGTAAAATGAGGGACCATTGTATAACTGTATATATATAACTATACATATAATTATATACTATAAACTATATATAACTATATATAAACTATAAACTCTACATATATAAACTATCTCTGCACCTACCTATTTATCTACACCTATAGTTTTCCCCAGCCACAGCCCCTCCCATGTGAATGTGCCCCGGTGAGCCCAAGTTTCTTCACAGCAAAGCTGGGACAATGACAGCACACAGGCCCAGGGCTCTGAGGATGACTACAGCCGCCTGGGCTCTGCAAGAGAGATACCATCAAATACCCACCCATGGGAACTGTGGGGGACAGCAGTAGTAAGGGGGTCAGGATGACAGGGGCCAGCTTGGGGATTCATTTTTAAAATCTGAACTCCTCTAATGTAAGTCTTGTGCTGCTTGTTTTATTTTATTTTTTGGTTGTTTTGTTTTGTTAATACAGAGTCTCACTGTATAGGTCAGGCTGGCCTTGAACTCACTATATAATCCAGGCTGACCTCAAACTTGAGGCAATCCTCCTCCCTCTGCCTCCCAAGTGCTGGGATTACAGGTGTGTACCACCATGCCTGGCAGTCTTGTGCTATTTGTGTAACTGAAAAAAAAAAAGAAAAAGAAAAAGAAAAGAAAAGAAAGAAAGGAAAGAGGAGGAGGAACATTTGGTAGAATTTGGAGCAAAGGGTGAAGGAGAAGAAATGGGTAAAACACAGAGCTATTCGAAGTGTTTCATAAATGGGTGACTGTGTATTCTTCGTCATCCAGGGCAGTCACAGGGCCCACTTGCTGTTCTGGGGCAGTGGTTACCAGTGCCCTGTCACCCCTGAAGGCATCCTGATGTGGCTGAGAATGTCATGTAGCCACTCCACTCCCTGGAGAGAGGAACAAGGGCAAAGGTATAAAGGAAGGAGCCGTGGCCTGGGAGATGTGTAAATGTGGGCAAATCCACAACTCTGAGCCTTAATATCTTCTTCCATAAATACTCTTGATCCTCACCATCCCCTGGCTGGCTCTGAACACAGCCTGTGACAGACCAGAGAGGTGGAAACCTACCCATCTAGTTCAGCTTAACTACAGGAGCTACAGGGCCAGGGAATGGCGTCAGGAGTCCTGTCTTGGCCTACAGAGAGCAGAGGTGGCCAGACACAGTAAGAACAGGGGCTCCCACCAGTGGCCCTGCCCTTGTGGCCCTGCAGGAACACTCACTCTGCAATGGTCAGCAGGTGGCGGGACAGGTCCACATGCAGCTCCAGGTTGGTGTTCTCCAGCTCCACCAGGCTGCGCCGCATCTCCATCTGCTCCTTAAAGGCCCCGATGAGCTGTGCCCGGATCTTGTTCATCTGCAAGTGGCTCTCCTCTTCGGTGTTGTGGGGTGTGACTGTGACTGTGGGCAAGATGGGGTGCTACACCAGGAGCAGGGCCAGCTAAACGCAAGTTGGACCCCACTTTCACCCACCCAAGTGAGGTCTGGCCCATGGCAGAACTTGGTACACATGTGTGGATGGATGGAAGATGGAGAGGCAGATGGATTGTGGCTAGATGGAGGGTGGGTAGATGTACAGATGGATGGAGGGTTGAACGGATGGGTGGGTGGGAGAATGGATAGATGGATGGGTGGATTAAGGATGGGAGTGGATGAATGGATGGATGGATGGATGGGTGGATGGATGGGTGAGTGGGTGGGTGGGTGAATGGATGGATAGGTGGGTGTATATCTATGACGGGTAGGTGGGAGGATATTTGTGTGAATAGATGCATGTGTGGGTGGGTGGATGGGCAGATATATGGGCAGATGAATGATTAGGTGAGTAGATGGATGGATGGCTGGACTGGTCGATAAATGAGTGGATGATGTGGATTCAAACCCTTTCTTTGCCTGGTGTGGGGTCAGGCCCCCTGCATTTGAGTCTGAGGAATTCACAGAGGGTAAGGCTAGGCTGGCCACTTCAGCTTGAACCTTAGTTTCTCAGTGAAACCCCACCACACCCTCACTCAGAGTTTATCTGCCGCCTGCTCTGATGACACTCTGGCTTCCCTGTCATAGTTCTCTGCATGTTTGTAATGAGGAATATTTTGGGACAAATACTTTACATCTTTCACATCTGCCTTTCCTGCTAGACTGAGTTCCACAGAGCTGGAGTAAACCTATGCTAGTCTTTTGTTTTTCATGGTAAATTCGTAACAGTTGACCAGCTATTAATCAATGGCTTTTTATTTTTGCTGTTCTGAGAATGGACTCCAAGCCTCATGATGCATGCTGGGCAAGCCCTCCCACCTCACTCAAGGGCTCACTCTAGACCTGCAGTTTGTCATCTGATGCCCTGATCTGAGGGCCATGGTCACAAGCTGCCATCTCCCTACACAGCAGCTGTAGAATTGCTGGGTTGGTGAGATAAACTGTGGTGTATCCAGATAAGTGAGTCACTGCCAGCCATTACAGCAAGGTTTCGCTGCAGGTAGGTGGCACACACCAAAAAGCCCAGCCACTTGGAGGATCCCAAGGTCAATGCTAGTCTGAGCAACTTAGCAAGACCATGTCTCAAAGTAAAATAAAGAGAGCCAGGGAGGTAGCTCAGCACTAGAAGCTTCCCTAGTAGGTGCAAGGCCTTGGGCTCAAGCTCCAGCACTGCAAAAACCTACAAGTTTTCGGAGAGCACTGGAATCCTGGAAAGCACTCATGGGGTGATGCTCAGAGGCCATGTACCAGGGTCCCATATACAGGAGAACTTACAGGAAATGGTGCACGCAGGGCACCAGGAAAACATGCTGCTTGCCTTGCCACCACAGGCCACCTCCAACCAGCCTCAGAAACTGAGAGCCAGTAGGAAGAAACTGTGCTCAGACCCTGTGTCAGTCCCTGGCCCTTAGAAGCCCACACTTCCTGTTAATTACCTAATGTAGTGGACTCTTTCCAACACACCACTTCCCACCCTACTGCCTCCGCCAAGTTTCCAATAACCCAGCCTGTCACCAACCATAGCCCTTCCCCTTTGAGTTCCTTTCACCTTTGGCTCCAACAGCAAACTAAGCCTCAAAGTTGACCAGAGAGAATCAGCACCCAAGTGCTCAGGAGGCTGTGGCCAGAACACCCAAGTACTCACCCCAGGACTGGGACCAGCAAGCTGGGGCACACCCTCCTGTGTGACAGAGGGTGAGGTGGGACCAGTGTGCACAGAGACAGTCCCCAGGCAGGGCTGGGGAGAAAGCAAGTGGAGAACAGTATCTGGGTATAGTTGCTGCCCCTACGATCGAGCTACTTGGGAGGCTGAGGCATAAGGACTGCTCCCATCCTGGGGAGCCCCAGAGTTCAAGATCAATCTAGGTATCACAGCAAGATCCTATCTCAAATAAAAGCAGAAATAAAAGGTACATAGGAGGATTGTGCAGGTTACATGCAAACACTATGCCATGCTATATAGGGATTTGAGCAACCAAATACTAAGGTATCCTGGGGATTCCTGGAACTGATCCCCTTTGGTCACTGATATACAACAGCATTTACACAAGTACTATGGGAATATGTTTTTGTTACAAAAACTTGAGTAGAACCTCAAGAGTCAGAAGATTCCTTGATCATGTAATTGTCTCTCCCTCCACACATGTAGCTCTGATGAGCACCTCCCATGCATGAACATGCAAGTGCATTAGACATGGATGAACAAGTTTTTGTGGGTTTGGCTTTAGATATTCACATAAACAGCACCAGACGGTTGATACTCTCCTCATCCTCCACCTGCTTCCGCCACCCCCGCCATGTGTCTGAGGACTGTCAACAGTGGCCCCAGCCAGCCCTTAGCCTCAGCTGCAGAGGCATTTGGGGCTCTCTGGTCACCAAATCACTCTCTGGATACAGATGCTCAGAATGGACGTGGGCCCCCAGCACTTGAGCCAGAAGAAGCGGTGGGACAGGGATGTTGGCCTTGGGAGGGTGACAGAGCCATCGGGGACTGAGGAGGTACCAGGCCCACGCCCAGACCTACCTTGAACATCTGGGATGTCAGGTTCACTTTTCTTCTTCTCTTGCTTCTCAATTTTTGATTTGAGATGCTCGATCTCCCTGCGCAAGTCTGAGATGACATCTGTGTACTGTGCAATGCGGTAGGAGACATTTAGCAGGTTGCGTTTGACCTGGCAGAGAGGACATGTGGCAGAGGTTGGACCGTAGGGAACTTCCCCTCAAAGGGCACGTTTGAGATGGTGTATGAATGTGTTTATGTTATAAACTTCAAATCGATGCTATTCAGCCTTAAAAAAAGGAAGGCATGGTGGCACCTGCCTATGATCCCAGCACTCTGGGAGGCTGAGGTAAGATAAGCACAGGTTCAAGTCCAGCCTGGGCAACTTACTGACTTGGTGAGACTTTGTCTCAAAATAAAAACTTAAAAAAGGGTTGGGAATACAGGTTAGTGTGAAGGCCCTGTGGGACTCCTTTCATTGTGATGCTTGGCAGGTAACTTGTGATGCTTTGTTCTGCAACTTGCAGATACGTGACATATTTCTTTCTGTATGTAGAAAACATCACTAACAAAATGGCTGCAAAAATGTCATAAAACCCTATACACAGAGCAAAATAGCAAAAGACCTTATAATTCTCCTACTGTTCAGTGACCCCCCCCCCCCCACACACACACACACACACACACACACACACACACACACACACACACACACACACACACACACACACACACACACACACACACACACACACACACACACACACACGGGAAAGCCATTCTGACTTGTGTTATAACTTGGGCAAGGCCCAAAAGCATCATACTCAGTGAAACAAGCCAGATCAAAGAGGACAACTACTGTGGGATTCTGCTTAAATTGGTCATTAATTCCATGGAGACAGCAGAATGGTGGGAGCAGGGCTGGGATGGGTAGGGAGTGATTAATGGGTCTGTTTGGGAAGAGGAGAAGGTTTTGTGGCTGGATGGCAGTGATGGCTGTAGAACAATGCAAATGCACTTAATGTAATTGTTCTGTGCACTTAAAACTGCTAAAATGGTAAATCTCATGTTACATCTATTTTATCACAGTAAAAAATTCAAATAATCTATTGAGGATTGTTTAAAAATCCTCCCACTAGTTATCACTCTTGCCATTTTGATGTGTGTCTTTCTACATCTCTGTGTTTAGAGAGGCACACAGTCTATGTCTTAATTGTGTACTACAGTGGTGGGGGGGGCTATAAAGACATTTTGCTTTTTTTGAGATGGGGTCTTGTTGAGTTGCCAAGGCTGGCTTCCGATTCCCCAGTTTTAGTCATCTTCCCGCCTCAGCCTCTTGAGTAGTTGGACTACAGTGCACACCACTGTGCCCAGCTTGTAGCTACTGCTTCACCACTCGCTTTCTCCCAGCCCCATTAATCTGGGGACTGGCTGTCTGCACACTGGCCCACCTCACCTGCTGTCATATAAGAGGGTGCGTCTCAGCTTGCTGGTCCCAGCCTGCTGTGAGCACCTGGGTCTCCTGAGCAGCTGGTGCTGTTTCTCTCTGGCAGGTGTGTAGGGTGGTGTGGGGGCCATGGAATGCATGGGCTGCAAGCCCAGCCGCAGGCACGCAGCGGCTCCATCTGTGCATCACGTGCTCATCACCTGGGCTCAGCTTCCACATCACCTCCCTGACCTCAGGCTTTGCCTGACCACCTCTGATCTCAGGGCCTCTCTGTCACTCTCTGCTATTCCCCTCTAGCAGCCTGTAGCTCCCCTCCCAAGCACTGACAACTGTGCGAGTGCCAGAAAGCACTGTCTCCTCTCTACACTTTCACTGCTGGTGCTCAGCTCAGAGCTGCGTGCTAGGAAGAGCTCCTCATGGGCTTAACATGATGATAGCAGGTGTGTTAGTACAGGGTCTTTAAACCCCGCACTCCAGGAGGCTGAGGCAGGAGGACCACAAGTTCCAGCTCAGGCTGGGCAACTTAGCAACTTAGTGAGACCTCGTCTCAAGAAAGTTCTGGGGATGTATCTCAGTGTGAATGCCCTGGGTTCAATCCCCAGTACCGAAAAAAAAATATTGTGGTAATACAACTCCTATCATCCACTGACCACTACTAGGTGCCAGCCACTGTACTAAGTAGCATCTCACAGAATCCTCAGACCAAAGAGACAGATCCTTCAGACTCAAGGAAGCAGTGTAGACAAACAGCACAGTGGTTGTGCACCCTGCTGTGTGATGGAGGGAGAGGTGGGCCAGTGTGCAGACAGATGGTTCCCAGAATGGGGCTGGGAGAGAGTGGAGAAACAGTAGCTATGAGCTGGGCATGGAGTTGTGCGCTGTAGTCCAACTACTCGGGAGGCTGAGGCAGGACGATCACTAAAACTCAGGAATTGGAAGCCATGGCTCCTGTTGCTAGCAGGAATGATAAAAGGATCCACTTCCAAGAACTGTTGTGAGAATGAAATAATTAAACCAAATGCGAAGTTCAGAGCCATGCCTGCCATGCGGAAAGAGATGTCTTAGCCCCACCCCGGGCCCTGTGATCATGATCTCATCGGGGAAAATGGTCTTTGCAGATGTAATGGAGGAACAAAAAATGAGAACATCCTGGACGAGGGTGGACCCTAAATCCAAAGCCAAGTGTCCTTATGCAAAAGAAGAAAGAAACAAAGAGAAGAGGGAAGAATCAGGCACAGTGACATATGCCTTTAATTCCAGCACTCTGGGAGGCTGAGGCAGGATGATCCCAAGTTTTCCCCAGCCTGGGTGCCTTACCCGTGTTTTGATGTTCTTGGCCCTGTATGCATAGAGCAGTGTGGTCCGAGACTCTTCAAAGCTGCTGCTGGCTGGGCTGATGTGGGCAATCATCACTGTGTGGCTGTTCCCTCCAAGGGCATCCTACTTGGATGGAAGGACTGAGCTGAGGTGATAGGAGCTGCCCAGGGTGCCAGCCACCACCAGATCTGAAGCCATCTCTAGGAAGGACAGCTGATGCCAGAAAGCTGGGGCCAGTGCTCCAGGAGGAGCCCTTGGGACAATGAGGAACCCATCCCAGGCCACTCTGTCTACCTTGCCTTCCCCTCTCATGAGAGCAGATTACACCAAGAGATAGAGTTTATAGGGACATTTAATTACCACTCTGCCCATTTATTTATTAGTATCTCTCCTTGCTGTAGAACAAGGTGACAATATTTAGCTCAGTATGAGGACTTTTCTCACATCAGAACCCTTATGATGGGTGGGCAGGTTCAGAGAGGTAGCGTGTTCCCTGTCCCTGGGGGGTATGCAAGCAAAGCTAGGTAATACTCAGAGGGGTAAAGATGGAGGCAGGCTGTGTGGAGATGGCCTCTGTGATGTCCCACCTGAGACTCATGTCTGGACGTTTTCCCCACGCCTGCCACACTTTAGTGCCCACCTTCAGCAGTCGCGTGAGTTTGCTGTCCCGGAAGTTGACATACTGTGTGCGGCTGCCCTTCTCACTGAGCGCATTGATGCAGTTGCCCAGGGCCAGCAGGGAGCGGTTGATGTGGGCGCCCTCCTTCATCCTCTTGTCACGGTTCTGGGTCTGCGACAGAAGCCGGCCAAGCGTGGGACCCATGTCCCATCCTGCAGCCACCGAGTCCCCTTCCCAGGGTGCACTGGCCCACCGGCTCCAGTTTCCTGGAGACCCGACCTAGAGCCTCTCAGAGTTACCCCAGCCTCCTGGGCTTCCCCCACTGTCCACCTCCATCAGGTCTCTGACTCTCCACCTGCTGCTGGGGAACACAGGCCCTGTGAGAGTACAGCCTGAGTCTTGCTGGCCCTGGTCCTGGGCTTAGACACCTGCAGTGCTTGGCTGCCCACAAGTGCCAACAGGGGCATGATCGCTGGCAGGGCCAGGCAGACAAAACCCAAAACCAAAACCGCCGCTGGACAATCTCCCAGTGTGGTGATACCAGCAGGGATGGCCCTTCATTTTCTTCCTCTTGCTTCTCTACATTTTCCGAAGTCTCTGCGCTTTATTATGTTTGAAATAAAAAAAGAATTACTAAAGCTTTATTTTTAAGGGCGAGGGTTTTAGAGCCTACTCGGCACATGGTTTGGAATAGCTGAAATTGCTTATTGCAGACAAATCTCCCAGTCCGTCTCAGCCTCTTATTTCCTAATCACACTTTGTGGATTAGCTGTGGGAGGATGTTACAGGACAGCATGTGAAAAGGTCAGCACAAGCCAGGAAAGGGTAGCACTTGCCTGTAATCTGAGTGTCCTAGGAGGCTGAGGCAGGAGGATCACAAATTGGAGCCCATTCGTTAATAAGGGCTGTGGATATGGCTCAGTGGGAAGAGCCAGGTTTAGTCCCCAGTGTTGAGCACAGAGAGGGCACATAAGCTAATTGCAAACATTAGCTGCTGCCAGGCAGGACTCAGGCTGCTAGAGTGGCCAGGGGTAGTCACTCCTGTGTCACACAACTGTGTCCGGATAGATTTCTTGGAGACCTGGTGCCCAGAACAAACTTTTTGTGAGACATTTTCTGTGAGAGCCAAGCAGACCCCAAAAGCCACACTAGGCCACTGAATATACAGCTCAAAACCCAAGGCCCAGAGAGGGGAGCTAGCCCGTCCAAAGGCACACAGCAAGTGGAAGAAGTGAGAGTGGGAGCCCAGGACCTGGACCCTTTCTGGAGCTCTCGCCTGGCACCAAGCCCCGGGGAGGCCAATCTGGAGTCCACTGCTTCCCAGGGACAGCAGAGCCCAGCTGGGATGGACATAGTCCTAGCTCCTGTCGCAGGCCAGGGAAGTCTCCTCACGGTGCTGGGCTCCTCTGTGATACACCCACATCTGTCTATATACCGACTGTGTCTTCTATATTCTGTGTTCTGATGCTGTGACATCTCAGGGTACTGCTGACATGGAGGCACCCCTCCCAGCTTAGCTAGGATGGCAGACTCACCTGCAAGCTCACCTTTCACCTACATACTCACTTACCCAGAACCCACTCCCAAGCTACCACCTTTGGGGGCCCACACTCTGGGCCACATCCACCTGCCCTTGTCACCCAGGGCCACATGCAGATGGTGAAGGATGCTCTGAGACCCCAGAGCCTTTTGCTCACCTGGTCCTTCCACAGGAACCATGGCAGAGGCTCTTGCATAGCCTGCCACTCCTCTGTGCCCAACCCTGTGCCTCCTGGGTGGCCCTGGACAGTGTGCCTCCTCCTAGGAACTGTGACAAACTGTCTTTTCAATGGCAGTTGTCCCCTGTTCTGCTGGTCTCCCTAAACCTCACATTTTCTGCCAATACACTCCATTTTCAGTCGGACAGCCATGACCTACATCCAAACGTGGCCAGCACAGAGCAGAGAGGGACGAGAATCAGGGTTATCTGGCCCAAAGACACGCAGCAGACAGCCCGACGGGAGGAGGACCACCACAGAAGGGAAGGCCATGGCTTGGGGCCAGGGCCTGGGCCCAGGCCTCCACCTCTCTGAGCAATGCCAAGTTACACCATCCTGAATCACACCCTCGGTACTGTCTAGTGGGGACAACATTGCCCTCCTGGGATGGCACCGGTGAGTGCTAAGTGCTGGATGGATAAGACCAGCACCACTTACTGATGACCTTGTTCTGACACTGCCTCTGTCTGCTCCTTCTTGGTGCCTGGCCCTAGCCCGGGTCCCTGCACTCTAGGACTGCTCAGGCCACTGGGGCTGTAGCCAGGGAGCTCCACACTCACACCAAGAGACAGGAGAAGTGAGGGACCCTCAGTGAGCACCTCTGCTGGGCCAGGTGCTGTTCCAGGCATGGAAGGCCCGGTTGACAAGGACTGGGGGGTCCCAAGGAGTGGGCATGATGACATTTCATGGTCGCACCTGGGAGGCACGCTCTGAGCCAGCCAGGTCCACCATGAAGAGCCTGCCAAGGTGCACTTCCTCCGCCAAGTCTGGGCCTTGCCGTTGCTGGCGCACCGTCACCTGCAGCACTGCGTGAGAACGCGAGGACGTCTTGTTGGTGGCTGTGGGCTCCTGTGTGCGCTGCCGGTTGCCCCTGGTGAGGAGCTGCATGATCTGAGGATAAAAACAGAAGGGCAGTGGTTGGAGTGCTGCATTCAAGGAACAAAGACCCAGAAAGAGGAGGACTGGCGGTGCTTAGAGCAGCTCACCAAATGGAGGCGATTTCTGGCTGGCAGCAGGGAGTGATTAAAAAATCAGTCAATTGGCCAACCAGAAATAGCAGATTCCTGACACCTGCACCGGCTCTCTACCCACAGCAGATATCACCAGTGGGTGGGTCACCCACCTCTTCTCCACAGAGCCCAGAGCAGCCCCAGACTCCAGGCAGCTGAAGAGTTGCTAGGGTCGGCTGGGGGGCTGGAATCCATCTGCCAGGCAAGCAGCTGTGGAACTCAGGCCAGGGAGCCCCTGCTGTGTACATCCCCTACACTAGGACTACAAGGTATGTGTGGAAAGGTGACTGAAACTCAAGAACAGAAGAAGGCATCCCCAGCAAACCCAAAGCAGGACACAAGGGGCTGATAACAATGGAGCTGGACCAGCATGGCCAAGCACAGGGGCAGGGCAGGGGTGAGCGCTGAGGAGTTGGTGCTGACACTGGAGATGAGAAGGAGCCATGCAGACTCCCTGGGCAGGAGGAGAGCCACCTTGAGTGTGTCAAGTGTGGGCTGGCACACAGACTACAGGCGAAGAGAAGATGGAGGTACAGGAGCATCTGTGCTGGCCCTTGCTGAAGGAGTGACCTTTAGTCAAGGTGGCAGGTGGACTCAGACCAGCCAGACTTATGGGGTTAGGACTGCCTGGAGAGCTGCACTGACAGGCCCAAGACTATAGCGGGTGCCTGGGCAGGGTGGGGGGTATGGCGTGGGTCCACTAGTGATGTCTGCCCTGAGTACAAGCAGAGAGGCAGTCACGATAGAGACAATAGAGACTCTATTCCCTGAGCTCAGATTCCAATGCTGGAGCCCACTACAGAGCCACATGTTGGTCTCTGCTCAGCAAACTTGACCCAGAACTTTGTGAGCTGCAGAATATGGCTGACCCTCACCTCTTGGGCATTCAAGGTGGAGACCTCTGTGATGCCTGCAATCTGGATGCTTCCCTTAGAGTCTTCTCTCAGGTCCAGAAAACCTGAGGATGGGTTCAGGAGGTCCCGGATCACTTCATTATAAATCTGGTGTAAAACAAAGGTTGGAGAAAAAAAACCAAAAACAAAACCAAGAAACAACAACAAAGGTTGGAACAGAGAAGGTTTGGTACAAAGAACAACAAGGACTTCCATCCCAACAGGGCATGAACTGCCAGAGAAATCGGGGCAGAGGCTTTGCACACACTGCCAACACTTGCCTAACACGCAGGGCTGAGGCTTCACACACACACTTATGTCTTATGCAATTGCACCCATTTTGCAGACAAGGCAGCTGAGGCAGTTAGGCAGGCTCACCTCAAGGTAAGACATGGACACTCTGTAGTCCATGTTGTCCTGGGTCTCCTCAATAGCCTGGAAGAGGTCAGTGAGGGTCTGCAGATATATGCCAGGCTCCGCGTCCATGCCCAGCATGGTGTGGGTCTTCCCTGCACCTGGGGGAGGGGTGGGCTCCTGAGATGGCTCAGATGTATTGTTTTGCAATAAGAGAATTAACACATCTCAACTGGTAAGGAGTATCTGTTTAGAGGGAGCACCTCACAACCTCACCCTCTGTCCCATGAAGGCGAGGGCCCAGCTGCTCTTTCCTTCTGAGGCTGGCACGTACTAGAGCTTGCCAATGTGTGTGTGATGAATGAGTGAAATGGGCACACAACGCAACTCTGGACAAGCTGCCTCCCTCTTCCTTCCCTGTATGCAATGGCAGAACTAGAGCTGGGCCTGTCCAGCTCTGAACCTCTTTGGTTCCACTTCCCAGGGATGGAAGAGGTAGCTTAGGTCTGCAAATGTTGGTTGAACTCAACTTAGAGGAGAAATCTGTGCTTCTCATGGGCAGCAGAGTGCAGGTTTGGGTTGAATTCCAGAGTCACATCAGGGCCTGGGCTTATTTCTCACCTGTGAGCAAAGTCCTCCCACCCACCTCTCTGATCTATAAAAGGAAGCACTAGACAGTACCTGAGGGACCATAGGCAAACACCGTTGCATTGTATCCAGAAATGACACCCTCCACTAGATGCTGGATGGTAGCAGAGTACACATCTTCCTGCAGACAGACAGAATGACAGGCAGTTAAAGGATGTCCAGCCTGAGTTGGCAGCCTGGCTTCTGGGAGGGAAAAGTGTGGTGGTCCCCCTGCATGTGCATGGGACACAGAGGACAGAGCTCAGTGTCAGGAACTCCTGGGTTCCCATCCCAGTGCTATCGCTGGCTACTTTGGGCACAGCCTCCCTGTGCAGAGCCTTTGGTGTGAGAAAGCAGTGTGGGGGCTACCACTGTGAGGCCTGATGTGCACTAGCACTGAGCACAAGGGGTTCTTTCCCAGGGCTTCTCCACAGGAGTTGAGAGGCTCCGTTCTTGGCTTGGGAAGAGGATCATAATTTCTCCTTTTCCTTGCAGTATTAAAGATGGCCTCAGGGTGTTGCTTATGCTAGACAAGCCCTCCACCATGAAGCTACACCCCTAGCTCTTTAAAAAAAAAATTATTTTGAGGTCAGGTCTCATTAAGTTACCCAGGTTGGCCTTGAATTTGCAATCCTCCTGCCCCAGCCTCCTGAGTAGCTGAGACTACAGGCATGTGCCACCATGCCTGGCTATCTTGACCCCTCTTTTGGGAATAAAATTGACTTGAACAGCAGTGGCAATTTGGGGCTCACAGGATGTTGTGGTATAAGACCGCAATACCTGGCAGTAGAGTGTGTGAGTAGTGAGCTCCCTGCCCACTAGAGAATTCAAAAAGGGACATTATCAGGGTAGGTGTACAAGGCATGCAGGTTCACCTGGGCTGATGGAGCAGCAGCCTCCACCTTCAGGGCACCTTCTCTAGGCCCTGCTCATGAAACGGCTGCAATTACTGCTCCTCTGGGACCTCAAAGCCTGCACTGCTTTGGACTGTGTGACTGCAGGCAGGCCCTTTCCTCACCAGTAGAGTGGGGATCTGTGCCTGTGTATTGCACAGGCTTGCTGTGAGGCCACTAGAACAAGGTACTCCAGGGCCTCACACAGCACTGGCTCACAGTAGCTGCTGGATGAATGCTGGTGATCAGGCTTCTCCTGTCCTCAATGCCACTAGGACCTCAGCGTGAGAAAAACTAGCTTGCCCAGGCAGCAGCAGGGACTTTGCTGCTGGGTAATGGTGTGGAGTCCTGATTGAGGGGAACACTCTCTGGGGCACCTGCATCCCTGCTAAAGGGGCTGCTGGGGCTCAGCAAGCAGACTCAGGGTGCTGGGTGATGGGGGAGAGAATGGCAGTTTGAAGAAACTATAGATGCTTCCCTTTCTCTTCAGAGAGGTCCAGTCTGATCTCCTACCCTTGAGCCTGTCCAGCCCTGGGCTCAGCTCGACTGTGAGGTGTGCACAGGTGGTTCCATGCCAGCTGTGGGCCAGGACTCTAGGATTCACCTCACCCTCTTGCACCTCTAAGGTCACCATGCTGCAAGAAAACCCATGTCATGTGGAGAAGGCACAAGTGGTACCAGGGCAGACCACCCAGAGAAGCTGCTGGACAACACCAGAACACAATGACATCTAAGTGGACCATCAGGAACGTCCAATGAGTAGCATCCAGCCTCAATGCCTGAAAGTCTGCCCAGCAGAGGCTGCCAACCTGCAGAGCAGTTGATCACGGCAGACAGTGATGTTGATTTGCTGCTGTCTGCAGGGATATGTCTCATTCAGCCACACCTGCTGGCAGACAGCTGCACACATCAGGCCTGAGCTGTTTAGAGTCAGGCTTGGGGTCAACTTTCCACTTATCCACCAGAAGGAAACCACTGGGGTGAGGACACTGGGGTGAGCACAGGGTCCCACAGCCTTCACTGGGCCTTGACTTTGGGCTAAAACATCACCAGACTCTGCCAATTCTACCTGGTCTCAGATGGCCTGGGCTCAAAGCTTGTCCTTCCTCATAGCAAGGCTTTGGTGACACAGGGGACAATATGGATCCTCAGAAAAGGGTGGCACTGATGGGAAGGATAAGGAAGGAGCAGGACTTGATGCTGGCCTGAACACCGGGCTAGTCCTTACGTGACCTCTGGAGTCTTGGTGTGCACATGTGAAATGGGCTGAATCCTGTCTTCCTGTCCTCACTCATACCCCTTCAGGTCTCAGCGTAGACATCTCTGCTTAGGGCAGCCCTCGCTGGCCACCGCACAGCAAGCTTGATACATTAAGCAGCACCAAAACTCATCTCCCCTTCTCACCCTTCCTGAGATCCGGGAGGCTTCAGGCGTGCCTCCCTCGGCGTACAACAGCGCCTCCTTGTGGGAGGGAGGAAGTTACTGAACTAAACAGAAGCCCCTTACAGCCGGTGCTTAGAGGGCTTCTCATTCCTGGTCTCTGGTTGGGATTTCAGCCCCTGCCTCCTTTTTCCTTATGGGGACCCTGAGAGAAGACGGGGTGATGCAAGTGAGCTGGGAGATGCAAGTGGCTGGGCTGGTGATGCAAGTGGCCAGGTGAGTGGGCACCTGTGACGCATGCTGGTCAAAAACTCTGTCAAAGATAAAGGTGCGCTCCCGGGACCGGTGCGCACGCAGAGGGTCCTCAGGGTCCTCTACAGGGTCCATGAGCACAACCGCCTGAAAAGGAGAAAGGAGGGCTGTCAGAACCCCCAAAAAACAAGCCCAGCGGGCCTGGGTAAGGCCTCTGCTCCCCTTCAGCTGTCAGTGCTCCTGCGCCTGCATCCAGAGACACCCATGAGCTCCCCAGCGTGCTGGGCGCTGCTGCCACATTCACATCACACCCATCAACATCTCTGACAAACCAAGGCTGGCCAGGAGGGCAGCTCTGCCTGGCACAACAAGCCAGCGTCAGCAGCAGCTCCCCGGGGCCCAGGCCCCACAATAAGGAGCCCTGCCCTGAACCAAGGAGGTCGGGGAGGAGGTGCATTATAACCTGTGGGTGCTGGCTTGGCCACCCATTGCAGTGCTTACCCCACACAGCCTGGAGGATTTTTATGGGGCAAGGAACAGTCCAAGAATAGACAGGGGAAAAAAAGGGACTGTGGCAAACCCTCTATCATGGCTTTGTTCCTCAGAGCCTGGGGCCCCAAGGGTATCTCCCATTCCAAAGAAATATGTAATTATGAAGCAAAGTGTAGGAGGTTCTCTGGGGACAGAGCACCCAAAGGAGCCCTTCCTAGGGAATTGGGGGGCATCTGGATCACACTACATCCTGGCTACTGGGCACTTGGAAACTGGGGGCCCCTGGAGGGGACCACAAAGTTGGGTGGCATGGCAGGGGTGGCACCAAGAACATGCCATCTGGCCACTACCTGGTCCCCTTTGGTCACAGCTTTGGAGATCGAGGTCCTGGTTCTTGGGGAGTCAGCGGCAGGCTGCCCCCAGGGCCCAGGCAGGGCCCAAGGGCTGCTCCTGGCTGCTGGCCAGCTCTCGTTCCATGACTTAAGCTGACTCTGCTTTCCTTCTCCTCCCAGGGCCAGGAGGGCTATAAGACGAGATGACACTGGGGCAGCACTGTATATAGCCAGGGTGGGCCAGGACTGTGCGGCAGGCAAAATGGGATGCGGCTCCAACTTGGAGGGTTCTGAGGGCACAGAGGGTCCAGGGGAGCTGGCAGTCACATGGGCTCTGGAGCCCTGCAGCCTGGTTTCCCAGCCTGGCTCCATGGCTTACCAGGCACCAGGCCTGTTTTTTTCTCCTCTGTGAAAAGGAACAGATCATAGAATCTACCACAAGGGGCTGAGAAGGATGAATGGGGCAACAGGCACAAGCCCTGAGCCCTGGGTGCTCAAAAATTATCGGCTGCATTGGATGTCAGGCCAGAAAAATATTTCTTTTCTTATAAAGAAATTATTGAAGCCAAGTGCAATGGCACATGTTCTGCAATCCCAGCACTTTGGGAGGCTGAGGCAGGAGAATTGCAAGTTAGAGGCTAGTCCAGGCAACTTAGTGACTTAGTAAGACCTTGTCTCAAAATAAAAATCTTTAAAAAGGGCTGGGGAGAAAGGAGCCTGAACCTGGGAGAGAGAGTTATGTTGGGTTACAGTAAAGCAAGGTTATGGTAAGATATTAACAAGCAAAGCTTAAGGTAAAATGTCAACATCTGGAAAATCCAGACACAGGAATGTGGGGGCCCCATAGTGTTCTTGCAACTCTATAATTGGTCTGGAGTCATTTCAAAATAAAAAAGTTAAGGGAAAATGTGAGCCTGTCAACACAGATGAGCCTCAGTAACAACAGGCTAGGTAGAAGCTACTGTGGGGTTTCATTTCTATGAAACATCCAGAATCCACACAAAGCAGACCAGTGGCTGCCAGGTTGGAGGGTTCTGAGTTTAATGGGTGTGGGGTCCCTGGTCAGGTGATGAAAATGTGACTAGCAGAGTGGACCAAGACAGTGGATTTTTGCAATCTGAAGACTGAGCTGCTTCCTGCAGCCTCGCCCCACCCGCTGGCACCGGGATGCTGGCCTCATTTTGGGGGTGTACACCCTATCAGAACACTGCTGCATCTCTGTCAAGTCTCCCATCTCCTTCCTTGATGCTGCCAGGTGACGGCAGTGCCATCTCCAGCAAAGGACTGCCACATGTGTGTTTTGGCAGAGCAGTGCTCAGTGCATTAGCCTTCAGCCCTGCAGAGCTGAGTCCTTTCCTGCAGAACCTTTTGTCTCGTTCCCTTGACTTAGTTTTTCACAGCCTCAGTGATGCCCCTCCCCTGGATGTCACATCCGTGTTATCTTCCTAATACACCAAACAAGGACTGGGTGCTCCTGTTCCTTAGGGCAGCTGTCACAGGGATCTCCCTCCACCAGCATCCTGGGGCCTCTGCCCTCCCCAGAGTCACATTTCACTCTCAGGGAAGACAAGCAGGAAAGTCCAACGCACTAACCATGCCTCCCCGACTCTGCCTTTATTCCTGCAGCTGACAGCCAAGGGCAAACGCCTCCCCAGAACAACCTGGGGCACTGCAGCAGGTGTAGACCCAGACCTGGCAGCTCTGCCCACCCCACCTCTTTTTGCTGTCCAGACTCCCAAGGAGGTCAAGCCCAGTGGCCACATGGATCAGGCCAGCTCCTGCAGGGCTCTCCCATCATGCTGTTCCAAGGTCCCACTAGGCCTTCCTAAACACAGTACCGGGGCCAGGACATGTCAGAGCCTGACCACTGCATGCATTTGGTAAACAAGCAAAGCACGCATATGCACTGAGTCTCACAGCTGCCCGCCATGGACACTTCCCCTGGCTCCGTCTCACCTGGTTCCCTACTTTGTGGGCAATGATGGTGGCTCCTTCCTCCAGCTCAGCCTCACTGAGTGGGCGGATCCGAAGCGCCACCTGTGGGTAGGACACCAGCAGCATGTTCACAAGCATCCTTCCAAGACCGTCCCTTTCCCTCTTGCTCTTCCTCTTGGGGAAGCAGTGAAGGACCAACCTTGAGCACTCCCTGGCTGTCCTAACACCTCAACACTTACAGGAAGTTGCTCACGCCCCACAGCAATGCTTTGAGGAACTCAAGCTACTGTCAACTTCACTGAACACGTGGGAGACTGAGGCACAGAGAGGTAAAGCAACCTGCCCCAGGCCACCCAGCTGCAGAGAGAACTTACTACCTTGCCAATACTGACCATCAGAAAGTGCAGAAGCCTGGCTCATCAGGCCAGCAGAAAGTACTTTGGAAAGATACTGCCTACTAAGAGAAACTGTGGGCCATCCATGCTTTTTACCTGGCTCCCCTTTATTAAGGGGGTCCACAGAGGGCATATGAGCTGTGGCCACTCACACTGGTTTAGCCCTGGCTCACCCAAAGGTCAACTAGGCATGGTCCAAGTCATGCAGCAGTAGGTGCCTGCCCCCACCTGGGGTCCTGGTCCAGGCCCTGAGGGTCCTAAGGAGGGCTCACAGGGCAGAAGGCGAGGAGGGGCTGGGGGTCACTAGGTCCCAGGGCGGGAAAGCCAAGTGGCAGAAGATCTGTCCTTAGGGCAATGGGCTGGGAGTGCTGGGAGAGGACACGGGCACTGGGAGGGAGGGGAGCTCACCATGAGCTGTTGGTCCTTGGGCTCCATCTCCCGGAAGGCTGGGCTGCCCCGGGCCGGGGAGAGGCCAGCAGTGTTCTGGGAAGGCATGGTGCCAACCAGGACAGCCCCTTGCTAGGCTGGCTGGTGCTTCCTGCTACCCTGGCAGAGGTGGAGGCAAGGAGACCAGTCTCAGCACACCTTGCTTGCTCCGCCCCATGACATCAGCTCAGTCCTCAGGGAGGGGGAGCCAGGGCCACTGAGAGCTTGTTTACAAGCCTGGTAACACCTCTCACCCCCTCTGCAGTCAGGACAGCCCACTCGTGGCTCAGTGGGACCCAAGCAGGTGGGCAGCCTTCCTGCCTGTGCACTCAGCCAGTGCCATGGCGACCCAGACTCCACAGGCCTCCTGTGCTCGGTGAGCCCACCTACCACCTGCCCTGCAGATGGACTAAATCTATTTTTTGCAGTGCAGAGCCCTTCTCCCACCTTGAGGCCAAGAGGAGTACCACATGGTCACCTGAGACATTGTCCACCCCTGGAGCTACCGTGGCATAGGTTCCCATGGCCTTACAGCTTCCCCCTATGAGGGGACAAACAGCAACAGCTAATGTCAAATCAAACATCTTATAAATGCCTTTTCCCCGATGCCTTTCAAAGCAATCCTGAGATGACCTGTGTGATGTGTGCAATTCCCAAGCCTTTCTCCAGATTGCACACCCAGGGCCTAATTAAGGATTGCTGCTGGGCCCTTTCCACTGCACCCCTGGAGGAAGGTCCTGCCCTAAGAAGCTATCCAGTCAGGCGTGCAAGTAACCAGGGTACAAGGAACCAGGCTGGTGCTCATAATGCTCTGCATTTTAAATTTGGATCCAAAAAACCCAGACCTGAGCCCACTTCACTAGAGCTGCACAGTGTACAAATTCAAGTGGGGTTAGACTCACTCAAGGTCACTAAACCACAAGCTCTCCTCTAACAGATAGTAGGCAGCCTCTTCCTTGGGAGCCAAACAATTGGACAGTTTAACCACGTAAAGCCAGCATTGTGCTCAATCACAGCCCTCCTCTCTTCCTTGGTGTCCAGATCAATGCTGGGCATCAGAAAGTCCTCATCACCCCTCGGCTGTCCGTCCCTCAGCTTCCTGCCCTGAATGAAACAAAGCTGAGGCCTGGGTGACGGACTGAAGAACCCAGGTCTGGGGTTCCAGTACTCTCTTCCTAGAGACAGCCTTGCAAGGAGGCCCAGGCCCCCCAGTACCTGAGCCCTGGATAACCATCCTCCTGCTTATGAGCCAGGCATAGAGTAGGGCAGGGCAGGGCAGGACAGAAACTTCCCTGCAGAAGGCTGTCCTGGGAAGTCTGTCTCCACTGCAGAAGAGAGCAAGCACCAGTGTTTCAGAAATTTTTTTATTTACAAATCATGTAAAACAATTACAATTGAGTTTAGAACAGTGAAAAACTTTTGAAAACTATTTAAAAATCTGTTAATTTGATAGACCTGTATGCTTTTTTCTCACTGCCATAAAATCAGAAAGCCGTGGCACATTAAAACACGGGAATGGCCATGCTGTAAAATGTGTGAAGGGCATGGGAAGGGCTGAATGGCAGGATCCCAACTGTGACAGAATCTTAGAGGAACTTGAGGAAGTGAAATGAAGACACAGGAGAAAGGAAGAGCACCAAGCATCCCTTATTCAAAGGACCAGCCAGGATGGAGGCCCTGATCATGAGCCCAGGGGGCAGACATCAGTACAGAATTCCTGGAGTTTCTCAAGGGCCACACTTGGCTCTGTCCCCTGCCCTGAGACCAGACTGTCCTGCAAGTTTGAGCAGGCCTTGGGCCTGCAATGTCCCTGGCAACAGATCCTCAGTGGCCCTCTGTGATTCCAGCATCATGAGGTGCAGGCGAGGGGAAGCCATAATGCACAGGGCAGACAGCTGCAGCACCACAGCAGGACTGAGCCAAACCAGGGGCTGCTCCTGCCCTTCCTGGCAGGAGAGGCTAACACTCAGAAGACACAAGCACCTGAAACTTTCCACCTTGTCTAACTGTAAAGTTCTCGTCAGGTGAAATGTTTCTTCATAGAAAACAAGAATCCAAGAAACTTCACTTTGGACCCAATGGACTAACTCGTGGTCAGAGAAGGCAGGAACAGACTCCCCAGCTGGCTGCCTGAAGGGTCCCTGCAGGGCACCTATGGGTGCCGAAGGACAGAGGGCACTGTGCCTGGCTGGCCAAAGACCCTTACCACAGGGGAGGGAACAGGCACCAGGGTCAAGGCCATGATCTATGTGCAAAGAGGAGAAAGACAGCTTGTTCATACAGGTTTGCTTTATTTCCACGCTCAGCCTGCCAAGAGCAACTGCCAACCCCAAAGGGCAGGCGCAGGCAGTACTTCCTGGACACCTGGTGGCTCTTCCCTGCTGGTCTCCAGGATGCACCTCACACAGGCCCACACAGGGGAAACAAGTCCTCGGACAGAGTAACCACTCAGCTGCAGTGACCCCTGGAAACACCACCACAGCAGGAGCAGCCTTGGGAGCGCTGCAGCCGGAGTCCAGGCGCAAACATGGCGGTGGTGACATCCAAACAGGACAAAGTGAAAGCAGTGCCTTAAAACTGCCCACTGTGGACACCAGGGCTTAAAGGCACAAGATTGTGTCGAGATGGAAGGATCCCAGGTGTGTTCACAGTCCAGAGTAAAAGAAAGCACAGGTAAAAACCAGGAGATGTGCAGGCTTCTGTAGGAGGGCTTTATGCAAGGGCCCGGCACAGTGACCTGAAACACGAAGAACCGTTTACTCCACATTCTGCTGCTAAGATGACCCAACTGCTAAGCAGGACCACCACTGACCTGCTCGCCTGAGAGCAGTCCTGGCAGCTATGGCAGAAACAGGCTGGGAGAGTGGAAGACCTGCTTCAGCCTCAAGGACCACAATGACCTACAGTGTGGCACCAGCTGCAAGTCCACAACATTCTATTCGGCCTGCACCTGAGCACCTAGGGACACATGGCTTGCCCTAGAGACCCTATCAGCAGAGCCCTCTGAGCCCCTGGATGTACACACTTATGTTTCCCCCTCAGAACCGGCTGGTGACAGCCAGCACTGGAGTCACAGTTGCTGTGCCCTCCTCATTCCTGGATTCCATGAGGCTATCCTCTAGCAAAGGCCCCTGAAGCTGGTAAGCTGCTCTTGCCTCTGCCCTGGCACTTCACATCACCTGCCAGGGTCTCCTTGGACATGGCTCCTTCATAAACCCAGGCATCTGCTCACCTGCTAATGTCATCTCCCAACCAGCTGGACAATAGCTATCAAACCCCAGGAGTGGCTCTGCACATCCTTTGTCACATTCTACACATTAAGACTGTACCAGCCTTGCGGTCCTGGAGCTCAATTTCCGCTTCACACAGGTATCTGCTACCTTGTGGGCCAGGAAGGCAGTGGAAACACCAGGCGCTCCCATGGGGGGTGGGGGCTCACCACAGTGCTCCGGTTACTCTTGGTTCCCAAGGGGAATGATCTCCTCTGTGACAAAGAACTCAATGGTCTCCTCCTCCCAGTCATCCACATTGCTGTCCAGCTCATCCGTGTCCACCCCTGAGAAGTGAGAGAGCAAGACTCTCAGATGGATCTTCACCAATTGGGCCTGGCGTGATGGGAAGCAGCAGACCCATGTCTTGGGGCCAGCATTTGGGCCCACTCCTCTCTGCAAAGCCTCAGAACCTGCCAGTTACCTCCTCTCAGCTCCAGACGCTCGTTCTTCTGCTCCATGTAGCGCTCCTGGGCCATTTTCCGGTACTTCCGGAAGTCTTCCATCATGGTTCTCCTCCTTTCTACCAGTTCCTATAGACAAAAGTCCAGGGGTGTTACAGACACAACTCTCCACCAATGGGCTTTCCATAATCAAAGGGCTAATGTCCTCCTACAAGGACCCACATCTATTCAGTGGACATCTTAACAATGCATCACAAGAGAACTCTCAAGAGCTAGGGGTGGTGGTGCACACCTATAATCCCAACATTCTGGGAGGCCAACACTGGAAGATCAAAAGCTCAAGCCCAGGGCCAGGGATTTAGCTCAGCAGTTCCGCTGCCTGACTCTCAAGTACAAGGGCCCAAGTTCGATACCCAGTACAAAAAAAACAAAAAAAAAAACAACAACAACAACAACAAAAAACTCAAGCCCAGCCTGGGCAACTTAAGTGTGACTGAGCAAGACCCTGCCTCAAGATTTTAAAAAAATTATTTAAAAAGGGCTGAGGAATACAGCTCACTGCAAAGGTCTGCGTTCAACCCTCAGTACTGATTAAACAAACAAACAGGCTGGAATTGTGGGATATATCTGTTCCTATGTTTCTCTTCTAACATTGCCCCCACCATCACCTATGCTGAAAAGCAGCTATCCACAAACAGGGCCAGGCAGGCAGGCCATCCTGTTCCAAGTGCCAGGACTGGCCCCAAAGTTGCCCCTGCTGGTCTACCCCACGCACAGAACAAGCTGGTGTTGGGGGAAGAGCTGCACTCCTCACTGCACAGCAGCAGCCCTCCTATGCCATCCTAGGACAGCAGCGGCCATCAGCAGCCTCCTCAGCTCCCAGAAAGAGGCTCACCTTTGAGGCTTTGGACTGGCTCAAACGATCCTTCTGCTCAAAGATCTTCGAATATTTCTTCAGATCCTTTTTAATTTGCTGAATCAGACAAGTCACTCAGGATTAATATTCAGAGCAAGAAGCACAAACACAACTTTCAGAGTCATGTCCCTAGTGATTCAAAGGATCTTTGAATAGTCTTGCTCTTTTTCGCTTCAGAGTTTACCTCATGGAGCAACTCTGTCCTGGGATTCACACTCCCCTCTCACTGGCCCACTCCCGCACCACTCCCAAAATCCCAGCGTGTTTGCACTAGTCCTCAAGGCTGTGTTCCAGCCCCAGTCCATGCACAACTTCCAGGCACAACTTCAAGGTCATCTTGACTATCTTGAAGCTACTCTTCTCTACCTGTCCACCCTTGCATCGTCCCAAGAGCCCCCAAAATGTTTTGCTTTCATTCCCCAGTCATCACCCTTAAAGTAACAGGAAAAAACATTTCTCTTTGGTACCAAAATGGCCTCCACACCCTGAGCCTGAAGGGAAACCCAGACCTTTATCTGCTCCTGGCTGAGGAGTGTTGGGGGCCGAGGTCTCCAGAGCAGCTGGCAGAAGCGGTCCTTGTTATTCTTCTGCAGGAGGCGTCCCTGGAATGTCCACAGCCAGTAGGCATTGTCTACCTATCAGAGAGCAGGGGGTGCCCTGAGCCACTCCCTCCATCAGCTCACAGAGACAGAATCCCCAGAGCCTCAGCTGCCAACAGAGCCAAAAGCAGCAACCAGTGCACATGCCAAAAGATGCTCTCTGGGCATTTGTGACACAGTAGGGAACAGTCTGGGCAACTTACTGAGTTAAAGATGTAGCTCAAGGCAAAGTTACTGGGTTCAATTCCCAGTACCATGAAAGCAAAAAACAAAAACAAACAAAACAAAACAGCAAAACCCCCCAAGCAACCATAAAACCCCCTCAAACAGCAAAAATGAAGAAAGAGGAAGGAAGGAAGGAAGGAAGAAAAAAAGCCAGCCAGTCTGCCAGCCAAAAATAACCCTATTCAAGACCCTGTTTCCAGGGCATTTGCAGTCAGGGGTCCTGAAAACTCACTGTCTTCACTAAACAGAATTACTCCGTGTGATCTCACAGGATCTGTTTGCATGAACTAGTTCAAATGTCAATACCTTCAATAAAAAAGTCCTTAAACACAAAAACATGCCTCTCAGAGCTGTACAACCCCAGGGGCTTGGCAGAATGCATTGTGAGAAGGTGGAAGAGGCGCCACAGGACATGGCTCAAGCTCTTGCAGATGGAGCTGCAAACGTTTCGGTAATGGCTCTGTGAGAGGCTAAAGCCAATGGCACCCCTTTCCAGAAAAGGCAGCCTTCTCTGGGGCTGTGAGCCCATGATAAGATTCCTCCTACAGGTGAGCGCTGCTCCTGCATACTCTTGCTCTCCCTGGATCGCCACCCCCTCCCACTCTCACAGACACTAACAGTGGCTCTTTGGAAATCAGAAACAGGAGAGCCAACACTGACAGCTGGGGAGAGGCGAATAGAGGCCCCACGTATCACCACTAGCCCACATGGCCACGGCTACTTGGGTCTTTCTCCCTACCTTATGGCTCCACCAGGACACAGAAGTGACCACGTAGCGTCCAGTGGGGTCCCACTCGACATCAGAGGCCATGTAATGCTCTGCGATGTTCATGACAGTGCAATCTGAGGTGTCAACGAATGCCAAGGCCCCGTTCATGCTGTCAAGACAGCATGCAGTCAGGCCTCTCACATTCCCTCAAGGACCAGGGTCCCCACAGGGACCGGGAAGCTGGCTGCTGCTGGCTGTGGGGCACCCAAACTTCTGCCTCAGCTGCAGAGTTTATGTGGAAACGAGCATGGTGACATTCTTGGGAGGAAGCTGTGAGACTGGGAACTATGACGAAGACAGGGCACATAAAGCTCCACGTACTGTGATTACTAAAGAAGTGTTACGGGTAGGCTAACCACGCCTCCAAAACTACAGCAACAAGTCTGCAACAGAGCAGGGAACTCAGAGGCAGTGTGCTGAATGGCTCCACTTTAAGATGTAATGGCAAGGAACAACAGGAGACATGAGAGCTATACAGCTGTGCAGTTAAAATGCCTGTCCTGGTGGTAGACCCGGGGTTTTCCAAAGCATGACTGATGGCCAGCAAGACCTTTCTAAGTGCAGAAGAATATCTGCACAGGCATCCACAAGAGTGCTAGCAATTCCCTGCCCAGCTCTCAGATCAGGACAATGTCCCATCCTCCCAATCAGAGCGCCTCAAGGACTTACCTCCTCAAACCAGCCAACACGACAAACTGACCCTGGGGACTCCAGAAGATGGTGTTTGCCTGCTGCTTATCAAACATTTCTGGAAGGAAACAAAATCCCTGTGAGTTTGAGCCAATGGTTCACTGGCCAATATGCAATGCTTCCTAGGAAAGGTCTGGAAAAAGACTCACAGCCAGAACTCACTGACCCATCAACCTGACTAGCCAGCCACTTCTGAAAGTACTCCAGAAGGACCAGCATTTAGCTACAGCTTAGGTTATGAGCCATTCTTAAAAAGAGAAGAGGGACACAGGGATACTTTGAAGCTATGCTTGTTTTTTAAACTTCCCAAGCCAAGTGGACAAAGGATTCCCCCACAGTAAATACTGTACTTATCATAGCTACCACTTGTTCAAGGCAAGTCCACAATGCCCAGCAGATCACCAGGGACATGACCCCCACAAGACCACAGGCCCTCTAGACATTCCCAATTCCTCTTTTCAGTTGTGGAGTCACAGAAACTAAGTTTATCATCTTCCTACACACACTCACCCCACAACCAAGGCCAGCCTGCCTGGACTGCATGTCCTGCCCCACTCAGCCCCACAACTGCACTCAGGCTGTTCACAAGCTGTGGTGCCTTTCTTTCTAGCTGCAGGAGGCTCCAAGAACAGACATGTAAAGAGGGGAAGAGATGGTGGTGGGAAAATCACCCTATCGGGCAGGATCCTCATAGCCACTCCAATGACCAACTGTAAAGTGGTAGGAGTGCTCATTTTGTGGGAGTCCTGATGGTCCCTAACACGTGGCAAGATGCAAATGACGACACAAAATTGAAAACCAGCCTCATTAAAGGTGTCCTGAGCAAAATTCAGGTAAAGGGTACCTTTCTATGTACAACTGCGTGAAGCAGCCAGTGCTTGCTTAATCCCATGGCACCTACTGAGTCCCTATGCGTTGATCTTCGTGGAGCACAAAGGACACAGGGGACCAGGTGAGAAGCAGCATCCTCAGGGCCACTACATACATGGGAATGATGAGGCCCTCCCAGGAGAGCACAAGTGAGGGGCTCAGAAACCTGGGGCAGGCTCACCCTGAGCAGAGCAACCGACCCAGGCAAGGCAGAGTCATGTCCACAAGGTGACCCTTGTGCCCTGGGACAGAGCCAAAGTCACTCAGAACCATGGCTGAGGAAGAGCTGAAGGCCTGGGCAGCTCTCAAAAGCTGCACTATAACTAGAAGCCTTGCACAATGTCACCTGAACCCAGCCAAGCATTTACAGTGACTGTCCCCAGGCCAGCCCGAGATGGGTCACACCACTTACTGATGAGCTCAATCTTCCCGTTGTTCTTGACATGATAGAAGGAAACTGATATCCGCGGGGCCTCTCCATGGAGCACAGCGAACTTACTGCCATTGGGTTCCCAGGCAAAGGCTATGATGGTTTCTGTGATCAAAGAAAGCCCCTTGTGAACATTTATGAAAACATCCTGATCAGTTTAGTTGCTCAGTACTAAGAAAAGATATTTATTAGTCAACAGAAGGAAAAAAATTCTCAATCTCACTGCAAGGACCTATTTATTAATTTACCAAGAGTCAAACACAGAGTGGGAAATGCTGACATCTGGTGTGGCTCGGGGATATCGTCTCTTACATGCAGTGCTGTGCCTGCACAGAAGACTGTCACCTCCTTTGCACCCTGACACACAGCTACACAGTACATCTTCTCATCTTTCTACTTTTTCTTTTCCTCAAAAGTCAAACTAAATACATAGGCTGATGCCCAGCTAAAAGCAGAAACACATTACTGAGTAGCTTGAATTAGTCAGAACAGCAAGGGAAGTAAAGTCAGCTTTGAGAAATACAGCTAACATTTCTTTTCTTAGAAAAAAAACAGGGCTGGTCACAGTGGCATATACTGGAAACAGCCCTCTTAGGCCGAGGTAGGTGTTGTCACGAATTAGAGGTCAGTCTGGGCAACTTAGCAAGACCCTGTCTCAAAATAAAATATAAAGGACTGGGGATGTAGCTCAGTGGTAAAAAACACTTTCCTAGAATGCATAAAGCCCTGGGTTTCAATACAAGATGCCCTTAAAAAACCAACCAAACCAAATCAAACCCACCTCTATTAGATTAAGAACATGTTTCATATGTAAGATCCCTGCTTTGTGTCCTAAGATGGAATGCAGACCCATCCCTCACCCCCGTACATGAGTGAAAACAATGAGCCTCTGCTACAAACCAGAGAAGAGAAGGGAGAGAAAGTTGCTTCAATCAGCAAATGAACAACTTAAAGACTGCAAGTGGAAAGCACAAGAACAAAACTGGGACTCAGACATGTGTTGTGACTCAGAGGTGGGTGTTCACGGGGAGGGCTGAGCCTTGAAATCACTGCTCAGTTCACACTGAAGGTACAGAAGCCAAGTGTAAGGCAACCCAGAAGGCCCATCCAGCTACATACAAGTAACTAAATCTTAACTTTTTTTTTCAGGGGTGGGGGTGAGGATCAAACTCAGACAATGACTAAAACTTACCTTTCATTTCAACCACATCGACAGGTACCTGTTTCTCTCTCATTCGGAAGATTTCAAAATTTGTGACAACACCCTGTTTATTAAAAAACAAAAACAAAGAGGAAGCTGACATTCTGGCTATTCTAAAAGACTTAAAAGAACAACTGAGGAATTTAGTAAAAAAGAGTACTCATACACACAACAAACACATGACACCTGAAATGACCACAGTCCCATTCCCCTGAGGAAGCAGTTCCTAATTCTGTGGGGGATGAACAGGCGTGGCCTCAGCAGACTGTGACCATGCTCATGCTGCCCAGGACTCTACTTCAAGGGAGTCACTCAAAGATCCTACTTGCACACAAGAGCTCTACTGATGCACCCTGCAGCACACCAGCCAAGCTCCCTAGTGCCCTAATCAGCTGTTAATGGGACCAAATGACTGAGATGCACTGGAACCTCCTGCCCCAGGATCCAAGGAAGAACCTGAGCCAATGAGCAGGGCACCAGCACCAGTATATGAGTAGATGAACACAACGTCATCCATCCCACCAGGGAGTAACTTTCAATTACAAAAGAAAGAACAAAGCACATGAACTGTAAGGACACAAGAAGTGAGAAAAGCCGGAAGTGGGGTATCCAGAGATAGAAAGCAGGTGTCATGGGTGAGGAGGGGATGAAGGGCAGCTGCTAACAGCCAGGGAATTTCTGGGGTTATGATAAAAATGTTCTGGAATTAGGAGTGGCCACTGAATTGGCATTAATAGTATGTGAATCACATAAAAAAAAAAATCAATGTTAGAATCTCCATTAGAAAAAAAAAATACAGGCAATTACAGCGGTACTTCGGTTCATGAACTTCTTCCCATGATTCTGGTCACAGAATTCATTTGAACAGAACTGTGGAAAGAATTAAGTTCATAAGCCAAGGTACCACTACACTGATAAGGTAAACAATAAATGATGAAAACAAAGAAATCTGGGTATTGTACTGTGTAAAATATGTTATTCTTGGTATTTAAAAAGCAAACTGTAAACCCTGAACTGACATCACAGAAAGAGACAGGTGTCTGGAGCTGGAGCTCAGTTCAAAGGCCCTAGCTTCATTAAGGGTGGGGGAGGAAGAAGAGGGGGAGGGAGAGAGGGAGGGAGGGAGGCTAAAGCCTTCTTTCACTGAGAAAAAGAAACATCCCCTTCAAGTAAAATGATAAAATGGTAAGCTAAATGCTTTCAATACCTGGTGGATCTGAAAATAATCCACAAACTTTAACAACAAAATATAGCCATTAACATCTTTCAAACAAAACAGCTAGTTTAGAACCAAGTCTTTTAAAAATCCATTCCCACTGCCATCCACTTACCTGGGTTCCTTTTGGAGTCCTGTCTACTTTAACACACAGGTAATCTCCATTTTTCTGCCAGTGCAGCTTGCAATCCACCACATTGAAGAGATTCCTCACTCGGATTTCTTGTCTGCTAGGAAGCTGCATCAGGGTCACCCTGGCTGGAATATCCTTGTCTTCAGGCACCCAGAAGGCTATTATGTTCCCACCAGGAGACCAAGAAAAGTCTCTGCAGGACAAAGAAAGAAAATGTCACCCAAAGACTAACTGATTGTAAAACTGAAAAGCAAAAGAGTGCAACAGAACTCAATTGCTGTGTAAAGACGACACTCAGGCACACTGTCCCATGGATGGGGCAAGAGCCCTGCTCCTGGCATTCTGCCTGTAGCTTGGCTGTGCTCATGGCTCTGGGACGCAGCCACACCATTTTAACAGTCAGGCAGTAGAAGATGTTATTAACTCTGCCCACTGTTGTATGGCAGACTGACCCAGTTCAGAGCCACTACATACTCCTACAAGTAAATTTCAGGCTAAAGCCAGGTGTAGTGGTACACACCTATAATCCCAGCACTCAGGAGGTAGGAAGATCACCCTGTTTTTTTGTTGTTGTTGTTTTGGTACCAGGGACTGAACTCAGAACCCTTCATTTGTGAGGCAGGTGACGGCACCACCGAGCTAAATCCCAAGCCCTGAGTTTAAATTAATCCAAAGATTATAAAAAGCCAGGCATGGTGGCACACACCTGTAACACCAGCACTTGGGAGGCTGAGGAAGGAGGATTGCAGCAAGTTTGAGGTCAGACTGGGGTACATAGTGAGTTCAAGGGCAGTTGTAACTAGACCCTGTCTCAAACCCACTCCCCCCAAAAAAATTAAGATTTCCCCAGTCAAAAGTGTAAGAAGACTGAAGATGAACAAGGACAATCCCTATACTCATTTTAAATCATCTGTAGGAATACTGCTGTTATTGTTTATCTAATGAAAACATCTTTACACGTGCTATATTCTGTTTTGTATTTACTGAGAGCCAACATCCTGGCTTAAGCCCAAATTGTACCCAAGAATGTAAAAACAAAAGAAGACACATTAGGGTCCTTGGACTGCTGCACTTTACTGCTTCAAGACTGGCCAGCCCCAGAAGCCTTTGGATAAAAACATAACCACTCGATACCAAGAACGAGCTATAATGCATTGATGCTTACCAGCCACCCACAGATCACCCAAACCAGAAAGCAAGACCCTTTACCCAAGTTACTTCCTTCAAAGCCCCACGTCCCACACTCTAGGTCAAAGACTGATACAGCCTGAGACTCTGAGGCCTGAGAGATTTATTTAAGTATACAAAGGAAGGGGAAATGTCACAACCACAGCAGTGACAGAAGAGGGAACCAACTGTGCCATCCCTGGGTTTATCCCAACAAGTGACGTTTCTTTCCAACTGCCTAAAAGCTGAGTGCTAAAGGAAGAAGAGTAAATAAAACCAATGCAGTGGATTAAGTATTGTGTACCCCAAATATTCACATGCCGAAATGCTAACCACCAAGACAATGGCATTAGATGGGGCCTTTGGGAGATAATTTGGTCAAAAGAGAGGGATTTCAGTGAAGCAGCTTTGTACCCGTACATTATAAAGGCCCCAGAGGGCTGTCCCTTTCAACACCTGAGATGACAGAGAAGCCCACCTCTCAGAGTCTGCAGGTGCCAAAGCTCAGACTTCCGGCCCTCAAACGGAGAGGAAGACTTTTGCTGTATGAAGCTACCTACATTGTGGTGTTGTTACAGCAGCCAGAACACAATCAGATCAACTTGATACAAACATTCACTTACTTTATTCCAGAGATCTTCAAACTCTTCTTGTCCAAAAGACCCATAGACTGCCCAAAAGAAAGAGGATTATAGTTGAGTACAGTGTGCAAATGTTTCAATTGCACATATTTTTTAAAAATTCTGTGCACTGGGGATTGAACCAAGGGGTGCTCTACCTCTGAACTACATCCCAAACCCTATTCTTTACTTTGAGACACAGTTGTGCTAAGCTGCCCAAGCTGTCCTCAAATTTGTAATCCTCATACCTCAGCTACCTGAGGAACTGGGATTACAGGTGTGCATCGTCACACCCAAGTTATAATCACATAAAACATTTTTTTAAAAAAAGTTAATGCTCTTAAGTTTGTCTAGGGAGCAGTTTCACCCAGGGTGACAGGTGACCTGCAAAACAATTCACCCCAGCAGTAAGATGTATACTGCCCAAGTCATTTATTGACTCTCTAACCTCAATGCCCATAGCACACAGCAGGGTAGGCATGATTCAGGAGCTCAACCCTGCACTGAGGGCTGCAGGAAGCATGCACTAAGCTCCATCTCTTCTTCACTGTACTGCAAATCAAACATCAGAGCTACTTTCTCTTACACAAGTACTGCTGGTTAAGCGCAATGGAGAGATTCATTTGTCAGATCACTAAAATCACTCACAGGAGTTTCATAGATGCTAAGGGTATCCATCGTCATTCTTGCAAAAAACTTTCCATCATGGCTCCATCTAAGAAGAAGAAAAGAAGTCCCAGGATACAATAAGGAAAAAAGAAAAGGTACAAAAGAGTCAACTGTTGTGGTCTACTCACTTGAAAATAGGCCAGTGGGCTGAGCTCTCACAGTGAAAACCTCTCTTCTTGTGCCCAGTGAGAATGTCCCAGATGATAATAGCCTGAGGGTCATCCTGAGTGTCCATCAGGGGGCTAAAGGTCACCAGGTACCTGTAAGAGAGGGGCCCACTTAGCAGAGCCTTGTAACACCAAACCCTGTATATATAGTATTTGCTTTTTTTAGTGCATTTCTAACTATGGTAACATTAATTTCTAAATTAGGCAAGGTAAGAACTCAACAATAAAGCAGAACAATTTTAACATACTGTAATAGAAGTTATTTCAAGGCAGGCATGGTGGTGCATACCTGTAATCCCAGCACTCAGGTGGCTGGGACAGGAGGATCGCTCCAAGTTTGAGGCAACCCGGGCTACACAGTGAGTTCAAGGCCAGCTTGAACTACATAGCCAAGACCTTGCCTCAAAAAAATTAAATGAACAAAAAAAATTAAAACCAATAAGTAAAAGTTATGTGAATGTGGTCTCTCTCTTAAAAGACATACAGCAATATTCTTGTGCTGTGGCTGAGGGTGGCTACCTGAAACCTCAGAATGTGAAATGCAGACAGGGGAACTGCAATAATCCCAAATGGCTCAGGTGAAAATGCTTATATAGGTGTTTGAGAAAGGAAATGAAAACAAATGTTAACAAACAAAATGTTAAGTGGAGGATCTTAGTAGAGAAAATATGTAGGGTTCTTCATGCAATTTTTATACTAAATTGAAATTAACCATAACATACAAAAGCTTAAAAATCATCCAAAGAAGGCTGGCACGAGGCAGGAATGAAGACAGCACCCACACCTCCAACAGCTCACCTCTCACAAGGTGAGAAGTCGATGAGCTGCACCCCCTGGTGACTGAACCTCTGGATCTGCTTGAATTTCTCACCCCCCCAGAGAGCGATGCCTCGCTGATGAAAGGTGGCCAGGTAGGTGCCTTTGGGAGACCAACGCACATACGTCTCTGTCCATCTCTGTGGGACAAGGCAGGGTCAGCATGAACACAACAAAAAAGCCAGACACAAACCCTTCCTCTTCTGCAATGAATCTACTTTTCACTTCTCAGAACTTACTTCAAAGCTGAAAAACGAATAAAAATGTTCTTAGAAAGAAACACTCTTTCAGCTCTTTTACTAGTTTCTGAAATAAAGTTCTCCTCAAGGAAATACACAGGTCGGTGCCAGATGCAACAAATACACACCGCTCTTTCTTCAATTGAGACGGGGTCCTTCACATCATTCCAGAATATGGAAGTCCGGTCTCCACTCTCAAAAATCACACTGTACTGATCTCTACATTCTGCCTCTTCCAACCAATAACGTAAATTTCCCTTAAAAAAAAAAAAAAAGAAGGGGATTTAACAACATCAATGTTAACACAAGAAAACTGACTCATAGCTACTGCCTTTAGATGACAAATTTTGCCAGCAATGTTTCATTTCTCATGATTGCTATTCAAGTTAGTCAGCATTTCTATGAACTACTTAGAATACAGATAGTATGTGACTTACCAGGTCTTTGAAAGGCTGTTTTTCGGGAATATCCCATTCATCACTGATCGTCATGTACCTGGAGGACAGCAGACAACTACTAAGCAGCACTAACTGGTGACTGAATTTGGTGGTGGGAGGGGGGCACAATGCCAGCAATCTGGTGTGTACCCAGGCAGCCCCGCCCTGCCCCTTCCACAGAGGGAAGACAGATGGACAGACCAGTGTTCAGCTGCCCTAAGAATTGATGAGGGGTCCACTGGCTGGAAGCATGGGGCAGAGATGTGAAACTACTGCTCTTGTCTGTGATGCCAAAAAGCCACCAGCGCCCACTGTGAAGCAATGAACCACCCTTGAGTGGTGAGTGTTGGCTCTCACATTCTTGAGGTCAAGTCTGAACTCACTTGTCAAAATCGGTGAAGAGGTTGACCCGGAACGTGTGCTGTTTGTCAAGCTTATAGCCATCAGCGTTTTTCACAGCGTCCACAGCATGGGCAGGAGACACATACTCCAGGAAGATGTATCTGAAGTGAGTAAGCAGGCAGTGTGCACACATGCAAGCTGTCAAGTTAGGCAGGCCATACGTTGTACACCAGAGGCCTCACCTATCACTAAGGATCTCACTGCCATGGCCCTGAGACAGTTAAACTGAGAAATAGCACAACCCACAGGCCAAGCAGCTTCCCAGACAAGAATGACATCCTAACTGAGAGATCTAAAGTCTCTAATATCATAGTCAGAATCTAGAGAGGTTAACAAACGTGTGGGTTTTTTTTTCTTTTTGTTGTTTTGTTTTATTTTTTGATGGTACTTGGGATCAAACCCAAGGCCCTCTGCACCAAGTTACATCTTCAACCCTTTTTTATTTTTTGAGACACTATCTCACCAAATTGCTTAGGGTGGGCTTATACTTATGATCTTCCTGTCTTAGCCTCTCCAACTGCTAGGATTACAGGGTTCCATAACCATGTCTGGCTGAAAACGCGTGTTACTTCAATTGTGGATGGATTCATATTTAAGTAAGTCAAAACCCATCAACTTGTACACATTAAAAACTATGCAAGTTTACTGGTTATCAATTACCTCGTTGAAGCTTTTAACAATAGTTCACTATTATACACTGGGTGTGGTGGCACACACCTATGATCCTAGCATTCAGGAGGCTGAAGCAGGACTACTGCAAGTTTCAGGCTAGCCTGGGCTATACAGTGAGTTCAAAGCCAGCCTGAACTATATAGTGAGACCCTGTCTCAAAATGGAAAAAAAAAAGTCTGCCATTATGCATTATAGGCAAAATTACACAGGATTTTAGAGGATGATTTCATTACTGAATAGGTAAACGTATAAAACAGCAACTATTGGTCAAAGGTTACCCTTCAAGCCACTTCCCAAAGCATAAAGCTTTCAACCATAAGTATACTTGATTATTTTTCCAGAAACAAACTGTTCTAGGTAGTTTTTTGGTACAGGGGATCAAACTTGGGACCTTGCGCTTGCAAGGCAGGTGGCAGCACCACTGAACCTATCCTTAGCCCTGTTCTAGATAGCTTACAAACTTCAAAACCTTAACTTTAAAAAGCAAACATGCCAGGTGTTGTGGTGCATGCCTGTAATTCCAGCACTCCAGAGGCAGAAGCAGGAGATAGCTGTGAGGTCAAGACCAGCCTGGGCTATATAATGAGTTCAAAACCAGTCTGAACTACATAGTGAGACCCTACCTTAAAAAAAAACAAAACAAAACAAAAAAGTGAATTTGAGCTGAGGGTATATACAGCTCAGTAGCAGAGCATTTGTCTAGCACATAAGAAGCTTGGGTTCAATTCCCTGAACCATAAAAACAAAACAAAACAAAAACCCCAACCAAACAAAAGCTGACCATTATCATCCTCACACTCCCACAAGACCACTCTGCACTCTTAAGAAGGTCTAATGGGACTGGGAAGCAGCAAAACAACTTCTGTTAACTGCCAGCAGTAGCCACTCTGACTAGCCTTGCACCCAACAGGGCACAAAGGGTAGACACTGTACACAACTCAACAATCTTGCTCTTGGGCGCAACAAAGAAACTCTTACACTTGGCTTAGGACATGGATACAAGATTGGTTAGGTGTACACCAACAAAAAGGACACCTTACAGACAACAGAACACCACAGCATTCATAATGGATCAAGGAAGGCTGGGGTTGTAGCTCAGTGGTAGTGTGTTTGGCCAAGTATGTGCAAGGCCTGGGTTTGATCACCAGCACTGCAAAAACAATTTTAAAAAGCTGGCCATGGTGGTACATGCCATTAAACCCAGCACTCTGGGAGGCTGAGGCAGGAAGATCACAAGTTTAAGCCTCGCCTGCCAACTCAGTGAGACTCTGCTCAAAATTTGAAAAGAAAAAAAAAAAGAGAGAGAGAGAGTTGGAGATGTTCAGTGTGAAGAACCTGGAGTTAATTTCCAGTATCATACCAAAGAAAAAGGAACACAGGGATTACAACAAAATTTCTCAACATGGAAGACCAAGTTTTAAGAGAAGAGGCAGGGGCTGGGCGGGGGATTTAGCTCAGCGGTTCGGTGGCCTGCCTTGCAAGCGCAAGGACCCAAGTTCAATCCCCGGTACCAAAAAAAGAGAGAAGAGGCAAACCTCAGGTCACACACCTATATTACCATTTTTAAAAGATACACTACTATTTCAGGTAGCACTAAGTGCTGCTATTTAAGTGGTAACACAACACTTTCACTCGGACTGTAAGATGCACTCATTTCAGAGATGTTCAATTGTGGGAAAAAGGTCAAAATAAAATTTTATGTGGAAAAATTTCTTTAAATTCTGCCAGCTTCCAGACCAGTCTGAGCTTTTACCCAGTATATACTGAGGCTGTCAATTATTGTTCTAAGGGTAAAATCAGAATCAAGTCCAGATTCCTCTTGGGCTGGGGATTTAGCTCAGTGGTGCCGCCGCCTGCCTCGCAAGTGTAAGTACCTGAGTTTGATTAACAGTACAAAAAAAAAAAAATCACAATTCTTTACAAGTTAGCAGCCAACTCATAACTCAACAGCTGTCCTGTGCCCCGCCCTCTCCACTGAGGACCCTAGGGCCAAAAACCTCAGCTTCTCCAAGCTTTTAGGCTGGCTTCTGAATCAATGACCTTATTATATAGTTAAGCATAGGTGTACAATATGTTCCCATAAAGGGTGATCATCAACAAAACACAAATGCTACTTCAGTGACAAGACAGCAAACTCACCCTTTTGTCTTTCCATCCTCTTCAGGATAATAATCATTTGTGATTTTACCGAACTTGGAAAAGATCTTGTGGATGACATTTTTGAGTTTCTCAAGTCGGTCAGGTCCCACCTGAGGAACATTGTCCACTACAATCACTGAATCAATTCCATCTGCTTCCTGAGGTCGGTCTTTGAGTATATCACCAAGCAATTCTGTGTGAGTAAAAGAACTGTCAAATGATATTTAAGAAACAAACCAAGAAACAGTCAGGTGTGGTGGCACACACTTGTAATCCCAGCAGTTGGCAAGCTGAGGCAGAAGGATTACTGCAAGTTTGAGGCCAGCTTGAACTATGTAGTGTGATCCTGATTCAAACCTCTTCATCCAAAAAACAAAGCATCAAGAACCACACTCATACGTTAGCTTCGTACACTGAACAAATTTCCAGAAAGCAAAGCATGAATGATCTAATCTGCTTTTACTGTGAATATAGGAAGCCATGAACTGGATATGTTTGTACATTCCTATAATTCAGGCACTCCAAGATTTAAAACCCAACCCGAGTCACTTAGCAACTCCTCTCAGCAGCATACCAAGACACATCACTTTGGAAGTCCCAAAATTATTAGGAGTTGTGGGAAAGAAACCAAGTATGTACATCCTATTGTATGGAAAGTATCAGGGTAGGAATATTATTTAAACTAAGAGACTATGGTATACAACTGAACCCCAGCAACTTGGAAGGCTTAGGCCTCCAAGGTCATGAGTTCAGGGCAGACCCCGGCAACTAACTAATTAAATAAACTAGAAGAATATATAAGCTTCTAAGTGTGTAATTAATAGCATTTCCTCTTTTTCTTATTGGTACACAAAATAATGATGTATCTTATAGGATGTGATGGAACACACCTTTAACCCTACTACTCAGGGGGCTGAGGCAAGAGGATTGTTGTGCATTCAAGGCCAGCATGGGCTACCTAGTGAGTTCAAGGCAGCCTGAACCATACAGGGACTCTTAAAATTGGTGAAATGCCTGACAGGGCAGTGAGAAAGCATCAGATGACTGTACACATTAAGTGTACAAATGCTTAGGATGGTGGTTGGAAGACAGCATGGGTAAACTTTCCATGTGTTAATAACTATACCTAAAAATGCAAAATGTGCTGCATTTATGCCACCTACTTTTAAAGTCTAAATCTTGAGTATTCAAAGTTCTTAAAATTGATTCATTTCCATAGAACAGCCAGCTAGAGTATGAGAAATAGAAGGTTAGTTGTTAAAAAGAAAAACAGGAGAAAAACAAACAAGTCTGCTACTCTGTGTGAGGCTGGTCTCAGTCCCAGCCCTGGGGACCAAGAAGCCCCTCTAGCACCACTAAAAACACCCAAGCACCTGCTGGAGGTAGCCACAAAGGCAAGTGAGACTCAAATGAAATGCAACAAATTCCCATCTCCTGTGGTTCTGTGCACATCCTAAGCCCAGGTAGCTTGCCTACAAGGCTGTAAATTCAAGGAGCTGGAGAAGACACTTTTTACAGCTGCAATCAAAGTGCAATCTCCAGGTGAAACCACACCAGTACACACAGCCAAAATGATTACTAGGTAATTTCTGAATAGCCAAAAATGGTTGCTACATGAAATTCTAATTGTTCTGGAAGCTAATTATCACACTAATTTTTTTATTATACTCCAGAATTTCAATACGATGACACATATCAGAAAATACTTTGTTCTATTTCTTTCTCAAAAGTTAAAAAGAGGCTGGGCATGGTGGTGCACACCTCTAATCCCAGCAATCAGCAGAGGCAGGAGGATCTGAGACCACCTAACCCCCTCCCCCAAAAAAAGGTTAAAAAGTGAATTTTCTACACTCTGTTTTATTTTTATTATTGTTGCTTGTGTTTTAAATTATCTCTAACAAAAAGTTAAAACATTTTTTCAACTTGGCATAGCTGTGCACACCCGATTCTAGCTACCTCAAAAGCTGAGGCAGGAAAACCATAAATTCCAGGCCAGCCTGGGCAAAGCAGCAAGACACTGGGGGGCTAAGTGGGGGTGCTGGATATGTAGCTTAATGGTACAGTGCATTGCCTAGCGGGCCCATTTGCTTCAACCACGCAAAGCAGGAAGGGGAGTGCAAAAGAGGAAAATAGTTTTAAGCAGCAAGCTGTCATAAAACATTTCTAAGTAATTTCAACACGTCTATGAATGATTATTAAAAAGTTGCCTTAACAATAACCACTAAGCTGAAGATATAGCTCAGTGGGTGTGTTTAGTGTGTGCAAGGCCCTGGGTCATTCTCAGCAACCCCTCCTTCTCTCCCAAGTAACTGGCACCTGAATTTCAGAGTCGCTAAAATTGAAGTCAGGCAAAAAGAAAAAATCAAGGCAAGGGGAGTTCAGAAACACAGCATTACCAGAAATCCTTGATATAGAAGCTGCAGTAAAATCTCTGGGACACTTTTAAAAGGTGCTCAGCATACAATTAAATGGCCTATTAAACTGCATCTGAAACTTACAAAACTTTTATCATAAAAAGCTTAGCTTCTATACAAACTGTGGACTCTTTCCCACAAGCTCAAAGTGTCTACTCAGTCTGTAAAATCTGCCCACAGCTAAGGAAAGGAATGAAGTAATTATACAACACATGGCCTATCTCATTCACTATCAGGTACTCCTGACTCCTGGATTCCCAGTGTGGCTCCAAGAATTTTCAAAACTAAATTAGAAAAATATAGATTTATAATACTTAGTGAGCCAAAGAAGACATTTGGAGTTAAAAAAATTTTGATCACACATTTGTCTAGCCAAACAATAAAGGCATCTGAAATAATGAAGAGAATGAAAGATACAGATTAAGGTGTGATTGTGGGAGAGAACAATGAGGCAAGACAAACTCCACACTGCTCTTCCTAAAATCCAGTCCATTTTGGAGAAGAATGTAGACAGTTTTACTTTCCCCAGATGCCCTCTGATCCTGGGGGGCACACCACAACCAGGAGGCAGGAAGAAAACTGGAAGATCACTAAGTTCTAGTTCCTCAAGACCAACTGCCTCTCACTCACTCTGGCCAACACTGCAGACAGCAAGACCATTCTGACACCCAGAGGCCACAGTGGCTACACCCAGTCTGGACAGCCATGTGTTCAGGTTGCTGTCCCCTGACTGTCAAACACCGAATTCTGCAAATAATCCATATTAGAATCTGCAAATTAGATGGGCTCAAGCAATACTTTTTAAAAACCTTAACTGAGCAGGGCATAGCAGCACACATCTGTAACTACCACTCAAGGCTGAGGCAGGAGGATGACCAGTTCAAGGCCAGCCTGAGCCACATAGTAACTTCAAGGCCAACCTGAACTGCACAGAAAGATCCTGTCAGAAGACACAACCAAATCCCAGCACCCAGGAGACAGAGGCAGAAGATCACAGGGCATGACACCAGTCTGGGCTACATAGTGCATTCAAGGTCAGCCTGAACTATGCAGCAAGGCTTTGTCTCAAAAAACTGAAAAACAAAATGATCTTCAAATAACAAGGGTACACCACCACACTCAGTTAAAATTTAGGATTTTTTTGGTGACAGGGTCTCATTATGTAGCCCAGGCTGACCCTGAATTCACACAACAATCCTCCTGCCTCAGCCTCCTGAGTCCTGGGATTCAGAAGGGGAGCCACCACTTTGTCAAAACTTAGGATCTCAAAATGTAAGATAAACTGGTGTGTTGAAGGGACAACTGGACTGGGCAGGAGACTAGTGTGACTCTCCAGCAACCTGCCCCACCTGAAGGGTGGGACACACATCTGTGAGGGTGAGGGGTGCACACTACATGCTCCCAAAGTCTGAAGACATGTGGTAGTTCTTTTTGTTTCTCATTCTAAAATGTCTTTCATAAAATAATGGTGAAAATAACTGGTAGCTCCTTAAAAATGTCTAAATGTCAAACTGATGTATTTTCACTGTCTACTTCAACAGTTGTGCTCTCTCTTGTCTTTTGCACTCTGGCATTAAATTAGTTAACACGTATAAGAATTGATGATGCAATTCCAGCTTGGAGAATTAAAATAGCTTTAAAAAACACAGCCAGCAATCATCAGAAGTCACTTCAGCAAGGAAGCTCCCATGTAGGAAGCAGAAATAATGCCTGTAAAACCACAGTAGGAAAGGCAAAGCAAACCGCTAAAACCTGGAAAAGCAATCTGCCAACGTAAGGAAGGTGGTCTGCCCTACAAACCTACGGGAGTAACTAGAGAAACAGATGGAAATTTGATAAGTTCTGCTTGGCACTGTTCTACTAAGACACTTCTGTGGGGCGAGGATGCAGAGGCACCCAGCTCAGCACTTGACACTTTCCGAGAGGTCTGGCTGGTCAGCTCTGGTGATCTTGGCCCGGGAAGCAGAGGTCCTGCCCAACTATGCCTCCAGCTGCTCTTCCTGCACACACTGGAATTTACCCTGCTCTCTACCCCTCCCCAGTTGTGCGGCTGTGTTGCAAATAACTGGGTCCTCCAATGATCTCTTCTGGACCCCTCTTTCTAAGGAAGAAAACAACACGTATCCTCACAAAAAACCCGCCCCAAGAAGAGAAGTCATCTATAGGCAGATGTTCCTCCCGCTCACAGCCACGCTCGCCCCTCTCACCTTCCTCGCTCACGTCATCCACGAAGTCCTCGGGGTCGCTGAAGGAGGGCTCATCCGCGTCGCCGTTTTCCACTGCGCGGGGCTCGGCCTCGGCAGCGCTGCCCTCGGGCCCGGCCTCCTCTGCAAACTGCTCGCTAGCCTGCTCTCCCGGGGTTTCGGCCTCGACCTGCTGCGCCGGATCCTCAGTAGAAGGCGGCGGGGGCGACAAGGCAGGACGAAGAGTTGCCTCTTCCGCCGGCTCGGCACTTACCTCGGACTCCGGCCCAGCCTCTGCCTCTTCCTCGGCGCCCTCGTTCCGCTCCACCTCGGGCGCGC